ATTGTAGTCAGCTTTACGATCGTAACGCATAATATCTGAGCAGTTAGTCAAATTGTCCTTTTCCTCTGTCATGATACATCGTTGTCCCACAAAGTTTCGTGAAATATTCAATTTTCAACAAATGCAGTGCAGGAAATTTTACAAAGAATTTCGGGACAAAGAAGCTAATCGATCGAGCCTTTGTACGCTTCGCTAAGGACGTTGTAAACGAGAGAAAGGTGTAAGAACACTTGACGTACTTTCGATTTCCGGCGTACGTACTGCGCTTCGATGAACATCCGATTCATCGTTGATTCACCGGCAGAATATCAGACGAGTTGGATTATTTAATTGAAACAGTGCAACCTAGTACCACGTATCGTTTTCATTTCGCGGAACAATTAATTCGCAATCAATGCTTTGATTTTCCGTAATTGCTAATCTATTCCGAACGGTTCCGAACGAGCGGTCGTGCAATTACCGAGGAATAAATTTGTCTCTTCGAACCGTGTCATCGATACTTTTTTACACGGTGGTTAACTATGTTATTACGCCGATTGCATATGGATATGTTTTTAATTTCACTTTCAAGATTCTCGTATGCTGTCCGATGCAATTATGATATCTCCCCTGGTAAACGTGCAATGGTTCGCCAAGTTTTTTTATAGTGTACCATTGTCGATATTTGGTATCAATAACCATTGACGCGAAAAAATTGATCCATATTTTTGCTACTCGTCGTTTGCTTACTCGTCAACTATATCGTTTGTTACGCACGTGTGAAACAGTATCCAGTTATGTTTCACGTGTGCCATTTGATAGTTCTATGATATGGAGCACTTGTATTGTCATTCTCCCATGGATCCCAGGGGTTTTTTTGTGGCCCGCCAAGCAATCAGAAAAATCCACCTTGAACCAAGATTTCTTTCCCATGCGCGACCGAAGATTCTCGTATTTAAATAAATTGAATAACACTGCCACTATTTTATTTAATTTATATTTATTGATTTTTATGGTACAATTTATACCTTTCTGAAATGCAAAGTTAACTGATGAATCCCTTCGCTAACCTCCGCTTCCACAAAATGGCCCCCGAGCCAAAACAATGGCCCACCTCTGATCTAGAGGAATTCGTTTATTCTACTTGCACCATTCAAGTAATGCTACTCTGTGATTCGAGGTAGTAGCATTGTTATTACGTAAGAGCCGGATCCAAGTATATCGTATCGTGTCGTATCGTATCGCAAGTTCTCGACTTTATCGTTGTAGCCGTTTTTGCGTCGACCTGCGTGTTTATAACGGTTCAGAATGCAGGTCTGTTGCATGCTGAAACAACATGCTGAAAGACGACGAGCCGGGACGGTGAGAAAATTCTCCGCGAAACTCGCTCTGATAGATCGCCGTGCACCTCTATCACTTCGCTTCTTGTTCTCCTTCCTTTCCAGATAAAACCATTCTCGTCGACCTTGCCGCATTGTTGCAAACGCTATCGAGGATGACGTTGTAATGGAGTTTAACGATGCTGGAGTTTCTCTCTCTTTTATTTCATTTTTATTTTCCACGCGTTATTACTCGCGAAGAGCTATTTATGAAAGTAAAAGCGTTGCCGGGATGAAGAAAAAGCTAAGTACCGTGCGTCGCCGACTCCGCGGACGGGTATCATTGATTTCCATGTGTAGTAAATTATAATTCCAGAGATTTCTAAAGTTCCTAATAAATTGAATGAAAAGAAAATGAAAGAATCTCAGAACACAAACGGCGATTGTAACTTGTGTATTAATATTAATGAATTCAAATGGCTGAACTTTCATTGTTTCTGTTTCAAGTTGAACTCGTTACTTATAAACATTTCTTTTACTCCTTACTTCCTGTATGACTAGAAATATTAAACACAGTTCGAACAATGAAATGCCGAGTATCGACTTGGACCGTATTTTATCTGCATTCGCAATGTGCAATTACGATATCGCGTCTCTTTCATGAATCGAATGAAACATCGTGAAACTGCGATTGAAACGCGATAACGATGCAAAATAGACAAACGAATATAACAGCCATTTTTGCTATCGATAACCTTGTATTCGTAGGTAACGCCTAAAGAAGTTTGAAGTGGGAAGTTGGTATTTATCAGTCACTTACATACGTCCCCATTTAGTTAGACTGTTTTTAACGAAACTTTTAATTACTTCTATTTACATTCTAATTATATCCTGTAATCAATTCCTTTATCAAAGACAATGAACTAAATTCGTCGAAGAACACAGGAAATATTTACGTAGAGGGTTTTTACGCTGTTATCGATCGATCTAATTAGTCATCTTCTATAATTAGGTATTCAGATATTTACCAGGAGTATTATGAACTGTTTGACGGGCGCGCGTTTTATAAAATCAAATAATTTTGTAGTGAGAAATGCAAGTGTTGGCAAATGAATCGTGCTCGTCCTTGGATCGGACAGAAAGCAATAGCTTCTGCTTTTAATGCATACATTAACGGTTCACGAATGATACCTTATTTCAGCTGGTAGTATATTTACGATTATTCAGAGGCTGTCCATTATATTTTGTTTGTTCTTGTAACGAAGTAGGAGATCGTGCAGTACCGTACTATGAGTCAGACATTCTTGAATTATGTATCTGGATTAGCTTGTTTAATGTTTACAATCTGACACATTCTAGTTCGAATGTTCACGTGCAAGATTTGCTCGTACGTTGACACTGATCATCGTTCAGATCGAATAATATTTGATGTTCGATTCGGCTTACAATCTATTGTCAACAAGACTTTTCTTTAGGAGATTATCGATGAATAAAATGAGGCAATATTTAGCTTGATTTTCGAGTGTCTGTAAACGTAAACGTTGATTAACGAAGAGATTTCATGCCTTTGTGTTTCTCAAATTCTAATGTTCTAATACTCAAGTTTCCATAATTTCTAATTACTCAAAAAAATTAGAAACCTACCATGCTCGGTATCGTACCTATTCTTCAGCGAATCAATTGTACCATCATTAATCATTTCCAGCGAACTCGAGAAGCTTAGCGAACGGTGCTTAGCCTTAGAAAGTGAAACAATGAGCATCTAGAATTCCATACAAGTCTTTGGTTCAATGCTATCATTAAAAGATTTATTTGACGACGGAAGAGCGAATGGCGGGAGCCCTTCGAGCATTTAAAAACCTTGCCTCTCGGTCGTTCCTCGCCAGTCGATCCTTCAAGCCCTCCGGGTAGATCGTATTCAAGTGCTCGTTGGCTAAATTTAGCTCGGGATAATTTACCGGATTCTGTTGAACTCGGCTCCGTTCTTTTACGAGGAGTCTGTTCACCAGACACGAGCGAGCAAAAGGATTTCCGCGATCTTTCACAAAATTATTGACCTTCGCTGGCTGGATAACCGGTGGCAAGGTTTCCCTGGGAAACAAGAAAAATTGTCCCCGCTCGAGATATCATCCCGCCAGTTTAGCCGGCTCGAAATTTTCTTTCGATGAATAAAATGCTGGGGAAAAAAGAGGAAATAAAGTAAAGAATGGTTGAACCGGTTTTTCGCCGAGGGTATAACGAACGCGTCCAACCTTCATCGTGAAACGCGTACATATATGTATATATATACGAAACCATCGTGAGGAATTTTCAAGGAAAGATTATTTCTCTCGTTAAGAAACCTGGACATCTTCCACGTGTTTATTCGCCTCTTCTTTGATACGCTTATCAACGAGGAAACGTGACGATCCGCGAACGAGGAAGCGTGTAATTTTAATTATGCGATCTACACTGATTTTAATAAAATCGTTGTTCAATACCGCGAGCAAAATGTGGTCGAATCGAACTCATCGAACAGACAGGAAATACTTGGATCGTTGACTTCGCGTATTACAACACTTTGCTGGTGAAAAATATTTTCCAAGCAACTTGCTAATCAATCTGTAGCCGTTCTACTTCACCGAGCCGCTGTCAACATTTCACAATAACGCATACTTTGAATCGCGAGCGTATCAACGCTCCAAGGTTTAACACTAGGTTTACGGACATTTCTTATACACCTATCTCTACGAATTAGAAAAACTATTGTTGATGGTGAAAGAAGAGAAAAATTCTTTTCGACATTTGTGAAATTATTTATTTGCCCAGTGTATGTAACTATTAATACGTTAAGAAGTTAATAACGTAGATCCGTTTGCTGCATCCTGTATAATTAATTCATTCCTTGGCGACGCGATCATGAAGCAAAAATTTGCAAAACGAATCGTAAAAAAAAAAAAAAAAAAAAAAAAAAAAAAACAGCCCTGCTCCTTCGAAGTCCAAGAGCAGACTGACCGGCCTCCGCGCGATGCAAGTGGCTTTATCAGATGCATCTGGCCCATTTACCTGGGGCTGAAGTAACGCGCCCTGTGATTGGCGGAGCGCGACCTATTAGAAAAGTGCAGCTATCTGATTGGTCCGAAGTGTTTAATCGGCATGACTGTTGTCGAAATAACGTATCGTAATATAACAGGTACGAGTTTCTAATAAATTCCAAGTTCAAATACGGTAATTCCTCAGTTTTGCAAGAGGCAAAGTAAATTTTGAACAGAAAAATAATAATCTATATCAACGTAGGTTCATCGAAAAATTTTTCCTTACTTAATATCAGAAGCTTTAGAGATTGCTTATTTAGCATAGGAAACAAGTAGAACGAGTCTATTAGGATAAGTACCGTCGTTGAGTCGATAACACTGAAGAATTTTTCACTTACCCGTTTCTTTATTTATTTTTAAATACCAGAATCATTAAGATTAATTAAATAAATTTTGTTTATTTTTATTCAATTCAAGACTAAAGTTTCATTTTCTGAATTTGAAAGTGTTGAAACGATGTTACGTGACTTGGTATTGCAGAAGTATTGCGGTAATTATTCTGCATTTAATCCTGCAATTATGGCAAAACCTGGCAATTTACAATAATGCCAAGCTTCTGCTACCGGTTTAATGCAAAGCTGCTAAACTGAATTATTTGAAATTAACCAATTTCTTGTCTATGTTCCAGGTATGGTGAGAAGCAACGAAAGGTTGATAGTCAAGAACTGAGTGGTATACAGTTGCTTTCTGCAACTGCTTATCAGCTGAAGAAACCGTATCAGCAACTTCTCATACCGATCACAGTATGGATAGGAATGGAACAGGCGTTCATCGGAGCAGACTTTACACAAGTGAGTTATACAAATTACATCATTATTCGGTTTCCGTTAGGACAGGAAAATCCAAGTGTACAACAATTGTTTGGTAAATTTTCATTTAAAAAAATAAGGAGGATGTACGTTCGTTTCGTGTAAAAGAATTTCGAGCAAGGCAATGATTTAACTGGTGGAAGCAATAATTTACAAGTTGCCAGACAGAACAATCGAGCAACGAGCAGCAATGAGATTCGAATAACTCGCCCACGTTCGCCGGAAAATGAATGAGCTTGTTGTCAGTGGAAACTTGATTCGATAAAGCATCGATTACCAACAAACGATTATCCATTTGCAAATGAATCTTCGGATTAGGTCGAATTAATGAAACATTTGAAATTATAATTACTGAGTAATTAAAAACGCTAATTGACATTGCACTTGTAAGTAAAATTCACGTTGAATCGATTGTAAAATCGTACTGTTAAATATTCTGAAAGCTTATCACCAAGAACGGGAGGATTTCGCGTGGGAAGAAGAGCGCAATAATCAATCTGTATATCCTGAAATCGTTAATGATCATCATCATCAGATAATGTAGAAAAAAGAACTGGCCAGGATCAGCCGGATACAAACCGGATACAGAACGGCAGCTTCCTGATGCGTAACGGCCATGCGAGGTCGTGCAATTGTTCTCCGGAAATACATGCAGCTGATCACAGATATGCTGAAATATCGAGGCACGCATCCTTTGCCTTTTAAAGCGTTGAATTACTAAAGACCATCCATATACCCATTATAAGTTCCGCCCTGTGGTTAACAGACGCCTTTGTTCAAACTTACATTTCATCGCCTCCTACAAAACAGATCTTGCGAATCAAACTAACATTTTTTATTTATTTCATATTGTGTACACTTTGAATCACTTATCATTTGCCTTTTGTTTTGAGGAGCACCTGAGGAGAAGCTGAGGAAAGCCTAACTTAACAATTGCTATAACTGTTACCTCTAAAATTTTATTTCCAATTCCCCTGGTTCAAATTATAAGTTGTATAACATAAAATCGATTGCGTATGTCGAAGAAGAAGAAGAAGAATGATACAGTTTGGAAGGTGAGCTTGTTGTAAACCAGTTCCATGACGAAACGAGCGAACCGATTGGCCAGGGAATAAAGTAATTGGCCAAATAAATGCTGTTGAAAGACATCAGGATCCTCTGGGACGGCTAACTTCCATTGAATCAGCTGGTCCAGCATGTTATAAATAGCCCAGAATCTTATTCTTGCAGCAATTCCCTGATACCACTTCCATACCTGGATTCTCGTGAACCAGTATTTCTTCTTTTTTCCCTCTTCTTCTTCTTCAGCTTCTTCTTCTTTCTATGGTTGCATGTGCATCGCATGCTTACACATACATAGCTGGATAAATGAAAGCGCGCCAGCCATGTTGAACGCATCCTTGCGGTCTCTTCTCTGCGTTAGTGAAATTTCTTCTCAAAAGAATGTTCTTTTTTTTCAGAGTTCAATTAATTACTTCATTCGATCGTTGCTGAGTCGGTATGATTCATTTCTGAAGACTGGAACTAAAGATAGATAACCATATCTAAGGAACAGATCCCTTTCTATTATATTTATTAACCGTTTATTTTGTCTGTTTCAGGCGTACATCTCGTGTGCATTAGGCGTGCACAAAGTAGGCTACGTAATGATCTGTTTCGGTGTCGTGAACGCCGCCTGTTCCCTGCTCTTTGGCTCTCTGATGAAATTCGTCGGCAGACAGCCGCTTATGGTGCTAGGTGCCATCGTCCACGTTAGCCTTGTCGTCGTGCTACTCCACTGGAAGCCGAACCCTGAAAACCCTTACGTTTTCTACACGGTTTCCGGATTGTGGGGAGTCGGTGATGCCGTATGGCAAACACAAGTTAACGGTGAGTACAAGATACAATATTTTTCGTTGCAACACCTCTAATATCGCCAGTGAAAATTCCATAAAACGTCGCTCCTGAAAGATGAACAATGGAACCTGTGGTATCGCATCCTCGCCATCAATGCTAACTCCACTCCAAAAGACACCATGTAACATCCTCAATTTTCAATGAGCTCCAGTCATCTCTATTTAAGGATCTAATTCATCCATTATCGTTCGCAGGTCTCTACGGTACACTGTTCAGGCGTAACAAGGAAGCCGCGTTCTCGAACTACAGATTATGGGAGAGTGCCGGTTTCGTGATAGCGTACGCTTACAGCACCCACCTGTGCGCTCGTATGAAGCTGTACGTGATGTTAACGGTGTTACTTATCGGCACGATCGGCTACATCATAGTCGAGCTGTTGCACAGGCGTAAACAGAAAAGGCTGAAGGCTATCGCGGAGGATCCTAAGGCGGCCCAAGCGGAGGCTAACCAAGTGGAAGAGACGGACGATGAAAAGGACGATATCGACGACGATATCATTATCACTCATCTTTGAACAACCGCTCAGTGTTTGGGCTTGATCGACTCTTTACCATTTGCATATTTTTTTTTTTCATTCATCCTTATCGCTTCGCTATAATAACGAGCACGGTAAGCTTTCCATGGCGACGTATCGGCTCTCCGAATGCGTTCAAGAACAATGGAGATATTCGTCTGGCAAGCAAATTACGTGTTCGTCTATTATCGTTCAATTTTTCGAAGCATAAGGACGATCTTGACCGAGAATTTTGTCGAACATCAATCGTTCGACGGGTCACGTATCCGAATAATACTTGAAAAGTTTAAGTACATTTCTAATTTTCAATTCTCCACGTTGAATATACAACGTTCTTTCTCTTCCTTTCTTCTCTGTTTCATTTTCATCAAGGGAACGTACTGTTTCTGTTTTTGAAACGTTGACAAAGATAACTGTTCTTTTCTTTTTTCTTTTGTGGAAAAGGACCGGTGACAGATTTATAGGTCATGGAAACACCGTGTTAGTGTGTTAGCTTCATCTGATTTCATAGCCTCCATTATTAATCGAATTACTTGCCTTCAGGGTGCTAGAAGCGCGTCCCAACTCCGTACTTCTCCTCCTGCGTTTTCATTCGAAGCTTTGGGAGATGGAATAGTGCGAAAAGAGTAAGAAATTAAGAAAAGAATTCAACATCGGTAACACCTCCATTTTACCACTAGGTGGAAGCGCTTCGTAGCAACTTGCCATTAAGTTTCTTCGTTTTCTTTTTCTTTTTAATCGGCATTATCTGTCCCAGTTGTTGTGATAAAGATCGGAACTTCCAAAAGGACGATTCGATCGTGAATCCGCTTATTTTGTACATATATATACACACGGATTAGCAATTGTATATGAAGTGAAATGGATGTTCCATGAATGGGCGTGATAAAGCTTCTTTTTTTTTGTATCCTGACCATGGATGCAGTCAGAAATCGAAAAACGAGCTTGTCAAACTAATCAAATTTCGAGCATTAAGAGAGAACCGATCAGACATTGATAGATTTCATAGTGAATCGACAGACTCGAGGCGAGTATCCTTTTTTAAAATTTCTTTTTTCTTTCCGGAGGAAGCTGAAACAGGCTGGGTCTGTTGTGATCGTGCATCGTTTTATTCGTCTAATACAATGAAGCAAACGCAATGGAATTGTTCTTAACATTATTGTCACGCTCTAAATTGGAATCGATTACGAATCGTCGCGATTCCTGTTGTAAGCGTGCACGTGTATCATTGAAAAGATCTTCATCATTAGAAAGAGTATATCGAAGGTTAATGACTTTTAGTGGTAGACGTTTAAGGATCATCATTGTAGTCGATAATTTAACGTTTAAGTACACGACAGAAATGAACATGGTCTTTTTTTTTTTATAGTATCACACTGTGTCTGTTACATTGAAAGATGAAAATAATAGGAGAGTAGACAATGTTTGACTTATTAGTGGAGAGATCATTCGAGAAATCGGTTGTTGTGCTGTTGAATTTGGATAGAAAGAAGTCGATAAATCCCGCGGTGGAAAACGTATGGGTATTCGTTCTATCCCGATCACATTGAATCAGTATTTGTTACACAAATCGAATTACTATTATTATGCGTTAGTTTTTATTATGTATGATGAACATACTGACCTACTGTATTGTAATAGCCTCTCTCTCTCTCTCAACAGTATGTAATTCCGTCCACCAATCGATAAGATTGCTCAAGAATCTTTTAACATAAGATTAGAGTATCAATAAAACGTATGTCGCACTTACATTTCATTTTTTTTATATATAGATATACATATATATGTTACCATCTCGATGGAACAGTAGACGGTTCTCAATTTTTTCTTTTTATTTTATTCAAAATAAGAGATAAAAAATTGAGCATAATTTCAGGAAATATCTGTCTTCCATCGAATGGCACGATTTCTTCTGTTTTTCTCTTTCTATTTCTTTTTTTGTCAATAGTTCAGTAGAATTAGATAGACGGACCAGAGAGATATATATTTTTTTTTAATGCCTTAACGACATATATTTGTATAAAAAAAAATAAATAAACAGAGGATGGAATATTTAAGGAAACTATGTTAAGAATACTCGTTCACAAATGTATAGAAAACATTCACGCGTATCGTGTTAATTCTTCTTCCTTTTTTTTTTGATAAAAAATCGAATGCAATCTTTCATTAGGGAATCTGTGTAACGGAGGATCCATCTTTGTTGTTATTTGTTACTTGTAATATCTTCTAATGCGAATACGAATAAATCGAGTAACGATAAATATGTGGATAGTGTTATAAATAAATAGTCGGGGTGAAACGTAAGTAAAACATGTTACTCAGTGTTTCGTGAAATGATTGTTTATTTACAGATATGTATCTCTTAAGTAGGTCGATTAGATCGCTTGAGCAAATTAACACGTAATTAATTAATCAACGATACGGTCGTTGCGATTCGTTCAATTAACATTTCTAATTACACAAAATTCATTTTCGTCAATAAAAGTTTCTAAACGTTCAACTCACTTGGAACAAACTCTAATAATTAACAACTAACATTTTCTACCGTTTAATTAAAATTTACTTTATCATCGAGTTTGTAAAAATTCGCGTTTTATAATACGTATATATATATGTGTGCACGTTTGCAAAATATAAATACACTGTATTCGTTTTATAATTTCTGCAAGCTGGTGCATATTTGCACGTAGCAAAATTAATTGTGTTTCGCGGTTGTACAAACTTTTTAACAACCCTCGTCGTTGCAAATGTCTAATTGACATCGTATGTTCATTGAAACTTGTAAAAAGGAGACATAGTTTTCCATTGCTTTAAGTTGTACTTATGGTTTGTTGCTTAATTATTATAAATTTTACAATAAGAATCGTTTTCAGTAACGACAATGATCTGCTTCTAATTTTGCAAGAGAATTTCAATATGATCCAAACGAAACCTCATTTAAAATATTCTGTTTCTTCTATTCGGTGCTAGGATTCAAGTTTATATACATATTTTGTTCGATAGTGCTAATGGAAGTTTAAAAATCATCAAATTTATTATTCGTTCAACATAAGATCATATTTGAAATAGTTGTCATTCGTTTTGCGCATGCGCACATGCATGTCAACTCTGATTAGTTCAAGCATGCTTCGTTTGCGCATGCGCGTCGTGGCGCTGCGCAGCATATCTAGTGGTCTTATATTTAGTATACGCTCCGACCGTCGATGGGGTATTCACTTTTCATGTTCGTGTTTTTTTATCCGCCGTGTACTTATGTGACCGCCAAGTGTCACGAAGTTCGAACTGAGAGAAGTCTTCCCTGAGTTGCGTTAAAGAGGTATGGTCTCCCATTGAACGAATAATAAACTCAGCTACAAGTACTTTTAGTTACTTTTAGATTTTTTCAAATTTGAAATCAATGCGTACCTTTAAAACAATAGTTACGCGTGCAACAAGATGGCGCTCATGGTACTCTTTTCATAGCGCATGTCAATTTCCAATTACAAAACACAAAAATACGAATCGTATAATATTTCCAACTTATTAATTGATTACTTTACTATTACGCGATGTTCTCCCTTGCTACAGTATAAATCAAATATCTACAGCATTTAAATTACGAATGTAAATTTTTCATCGATATCGTCCATCCCCTAGCGGTAATATCACAAACACGAATTCTCTTGCGTATTGTCAACACATTAAAATAATGCCTGTTAGTTACGTTGAGTGAAATTAACCTAACCAGTAATCATCTTTTACCGATAATTTATCTTGGTGCAGACTAATGGCATTCGTATGTGTCGTATCTCAGTAAAAATTGACTATGTTTTATTTAACTAGCATCGATATGTATTAGCTTATTGCACTTGTTCTCACAACCAGCCGAAATCCATCCCGGTTAATTGATAGAAACGTTGATTAAATGGACGATAAAAATCTCTCAATCGTTGTATGGCTACAGGATCTATGTAAGGATGACTACGACCCTTGTTCTTACCTTGAAATTATGCATATAAGCGTTATATATTTGAATAGAATATTTAGTAAGAAAATAACTCACCAAGGCAATGGGGTGTAGGATGTTCTTCAGATTTGAGCAGACAAGGGAACCCTTTGGTAGCGTTGAAATAAAAATGTTTCTCGCATATAACTCGCTTTAGGCCTAAGAAATCTTGTACCCTCGTTACCTCGGCGACAGGATCTATGATCAATCTCTCCCCGGATACAAATAAGAATTGCGATAACGGAAAATATTGAAGCCACCTTTCCAAGTGTCTCGCGTACACTCCGATCTTCAATGGTACCCACGAAGTGTCCACGATCTTGGATCCGTTCAGAAATGCTAGATCTTCGAATTTTGGCATGTTTGCTCGTTTACTCTTCACTTGAGTATAATCGGATATCGCTCTGGTAACCGGATCCCTTACTACGAGAATCAATTTCATTGCCGGATTCATGCGTTGAACTCTTCTCGGTACCTCGCTAGTCACGAAATACGACGGTGTTTTTTCCATCGTAATTTGAGTGGCCAATGTAGGAGGCATCCGGTGTCTGAAACGTACACATAGAGGAACTTTGAAATATTTTTGAAAAAATTACATTTTTCTCCGACTCATACCTGTACCAATGGAATCCCTTGATGTAATGATGATCGAAAAAGTGTACTTCCGATCCGGCGGCTCGTATAGCCGGATGTAACCTTAGAAACTCTAACAGGGCTCTGGTTCCGCCTTTCTTCACGCCGATTATCAACGCAGTCGGTAATTGTTTGCTAGGTATTAAACCTTGTTGTCTCAACACCTGATACTTTCGCAATGTACCTGAGCTTCCCTTAACGCTGTTGTTGCCTGTCCAAAGTGACACCACTTGAAGTTTCGATAATTTCGTGCGTCTCGATTCGACGTCGTTTATCAAAAAGGATTCCTTCACGATTAGACGGTCCAAATTCGGATCGACCATGTGCGCAGAGTAAACGGAATTTCTGGGTTTTTGTAGGGTCGCTTTGCCGGACAGGCCGACCAGGAGCAAGGAATTGTCGATTAGAAAGATCCAGATTAGAATTACCAGAAAACAGGCCGGTAGCAGGATTTTTTTCGACCATAGCCCTTTTCTAAGTTCCATGCTGAACTTAAGAATCGTCGTACTTCACTGGCATCCTGGATTCCATTATATCATATCATGCTTTCACTTTTCCATTTCCATACTGATGTATTAGGATAGATATCGTTTCATATCTACAAAGAGTTACAGTCACTCGAATGCGAATCAGATTTACGATATTTAGGCAGAAAGAGTTAGGTCTAACCTTTCTTTGAATTATCAGGACCCCCAAGTATTTCAATGTAACATCCTTTAACCCCGGAATAAGAGAGCAGAATCTTTACTGACCCAAAGTATAATTTAGTAATAATATCATTTAATTAGAAGATAAATTCATTCAGATATGATCTCGAAAATAATGCGCCTACGTTAGACTCATTACGCTTAACGATCGACCATGTTTGCACGGTTGAAGGGTTGCATTCATTCAGGCTGATATACCGGGAACTGTTCTCCATAACACAACATAAGAAAATATTTACAAACGTGGAGAATTCTTCCAATAATTAATATTTCTCTAGCATCATTACTAGTGATACATATTACAATTTCAAATAACAACAGTAAGGGTATAAATGAAACAGAAACTTAGCTATTTTAAAATTCTATTATAAATTCAAAAAAGCAACACTAATATACAAAAGTATATACAGATTCTCTAATGGGAGATTATCAGCATGCATTGAGTACATAAATTTAAAAAAAAAAAATGAAAAATATTTACATCAGTTGCATCAACTTACCTCCATGTCGCACAATATTTAAACGCAGGTTATTTTTAGTACGGCATACATGATCGGTATCCGATCGTATCACGATATTCGATTTCTTTCCGTCGTGTAAACGCGAGGATATGTGATTTCGATTAAAGGAAGTGCACATTTAACGCATTATCAGGCGGCGCGTTCGTAACAATCGATAACACGGAGGAAAGTAGAAGGGAGAGACGGTGTACAACACGAAGCGTATCGATGAGATTTCATAACTACCGGACCGTCGTACAACGAGATATTAAATCGAACTTCATCTTGTCAAGGTGTCGGTCGATTCGTTGGAGTTTTCAAAAGCGATGCAACGTTTATTAATCGCATCGCGCCCCTGGAAACGGTTTCCCTCTCGTCTTGCTTGCCAACATAGTAGTGCCGAGTGCGGCACCGAATCACGACCCTAGCGCCACCCTCGTTAATAATTGGAAAACTGACCAGAAAGCAGTATAGATCTTATGATATCGAGTGACCAAACCGAGCTGAAAATCGGAATGACGTGGTCGAGGGAGGATCGAGAGTCAATCGAACGAAAACTTTTGTTCACGCATGATTTATGAAACGCGGCAATAATATAGGGTATTGAAATGGTTTTTCATTTTTCTTTTTTTTTTTTTTCTTATTAAAATTATATAGTTTGAGCGAGTTTACGATATTTTGAACCATACCACGAAATTTCTAAACTTGTTGCCTTTATTATTTTTATAATTTCAATACTTGCAATATTTTAACAAAGAACGGATTGAAAATTGTTAAGTAGCTTATATTTTTTTATGAAAAGGTATAAATTAAAGTCACGATATAAAAGGTAATTAACTTTGATGTTGGTGTAATACGTTTAATTATCCGAAGTAACAAAAGACTTTAATGGCTGCTCTGCATAATTGAATAATAAGTAATTATAAAAATAAAGTGGAGTAAGCATATTTTATTAAGTAATAATACATGAAACATTTACATTATTATATAGATGAATACAGCGTACAATTGAAATTATAAATTACAATATTTGTTTAGGATTCGATCAAACATTTCTGGCTACATTACTCGAGCTCGATCACTTTTTAATATTCTCGAGTGTTTATTTCCGTGAAGCAAGCCAAACTAACAAGTTGCAATCAAATATTTTTAGAAACACCTGTTTACGAACCACCTATGTTACAGGAAATATCAAACTTGAATAAAAATAGAATGTAAAAGCTGATCCGATATATAATTTGAAGCGTTCTTTCAAAAGAGAACACGTACATGATACGTATTTCCTGCTTAAACATAGTGAAAATTTTCGAAAAATTTTCAGTGGGAAGGTGCTAAATCAATTAGGTACGCGACTGCGGGCTCGTTTGTGTGCGCGTATTTCTCGGTAGTAACATTAATTAGTCGTGTCGCCTGAAAGCAAACTAAATCAAGGAATAATCTGTTTGATCGTAAAAACGCATCAACGATCTATTTATTATTCCCGTTAATATTGATAGGAATAAACAGCTCTTCTGTTGTCAGTTGTGTAAAAAAATAAAATTCCAAGGGATGAATGAATGACGGCTCGGCGCGGTACGGTGCGGCGCGGCGCGTCAACTAGATACAGGACTGCTCGCGGCAAGGGCATAGGCCATACGGGCCGTTGATTGGCCGGTCTTTGAAGGGGCAAGTTTAGTGAGGGGCCGCGAGAGTGCGCGTCCCGCGCACTCGTGTTAGATCTCGATGGCGACCAAGATGTGCCTGAGAGACGAGCCGCGAAATGCCTAGACGAAATAGTGTCCGATCTACCGTGTATTCACTGTGATCACTGTTTACTCGATGCAAGCGGGAAACACTTTGCATGCCTTCCGCGTGTCAAGTCGCCATTATTATCACGGTGTATCGGCCCGGTGTGTATATTTCGTCGAGAGTGTGGTGCGTGTGTGCGTCGTGTCCAAGTGTCGAGAGTTCACGCCGAATCATCGTCGTGGCTAGGAGAGAGCGAGAAAGTAAGGACGAGAAAGAGAGCTACGATGTGTCTGCGTTTCAGCCCGTACCATTTTTTCATCGATAGTTGACATTTTCGAGCATGGAACGTCGGTCTCGCCGAACAGACGCATCGTCATCACGGCATTAGCAAATACAAGCACCGTCGGATATACCGAGTAAGTCCAACTGCCGCCTTTTCGTTTTCGAAAGCACCGATTCCTTTCTTAAAATCCCTCTCTTTCTATCCTTATCTCCTTTTCCAGCCTTCATTCTTCTTTCCCTCGATCGAGGTACCTAGGTACCTTGGTCTGCTCATCTTTTTGCTTTCTTCCTTATCCTAACGCCGCCTTCTGGTTCACGTCCTCCTCCTTTCTCCCTGTGGCAGGACCGCGAGTGTCCCACACTTTGGATTAATAAAAATTCGACGATGTCGAGGGAGAATCCGAAGGGAAAGAAAAGAGTAGTAACGACGTCGATTTCCTCGTGTGTAGTAACCATCAAAAGTCACTCGGCTCCAAAATATACCCGCGGTGTTTACGTCTCGGGCCCGTTTTTATTTTTTCATTTATCGCCCGTGCTTTCTCCTTTTTTTTTCCTCTCCCCCGTGTGGATTTTTATTTTCTTCCGTTCTCTCACTTCCGTTTGCACTGGCTTCCTTTCTCGTCGTCTCTGTGTGCCCCGGCTCTGTTTCTTTTTCCTTTCTCCACCTTTTTCTTTCACGGGGATCAACCTCGCCGCCTCTCTTTCTCCCCCCAGCTCCGTGTTCCCTCTCTTTCTCGCTTCTAGCCACGAGAGGTTTGCGCGTCTCGGGGCGCGTGTATTCACGAATCGAGCTCTCTTTCTTGACGTACCTACCGCCGAACGCAGCCGTGCGTTTTCTTCTCGAGTCGTTCCACCAGCTTTTCTGCCAGTCGTAGTTTCGTTCCTCGCTTCGTGCCCTACCTTTTTTCCTCTCTTTCTTTACCTCTCCCTCTCTTTCTCTCGAGGCTGTGCGATCGTTCCGGTTCCACGTCCGTTTCAGTCTCCCTTTCTCTCTCTCTCTCTCTCTTTCTCTTCCTTTTTCATCCTGTTGCCTCGCTCCGAGTCCTCGTCTCGCGGCTCTCGCTAATACGCGCTCTCCTTCGTCTTTTATCAAAACAATACATATGGTTATATCGAAGGGGGCGTGCACTCTTCTGATAATCGTGAATATCAATCAGTGATTTTATAAATAATTCAGTAAAAAAACCGATAGAACCGTCGGATCGACGTGAGTCCTTCCATCCCGAACCATTATCGTTCCTTGGTTTCCGTAATTGACGACAGTTTGCTATAAATGCGACGAATAATTAAAACATCCTTACCCGATAGATTATTTAAGCCGGTTCGAGGATCGAACGCGATTCCTATTAAAATGATTACAACCATTCCACGAATGTTATCGTTCATCACTTTTACGGTGATTTTTGACACAAATTACGGGAATTAAACGAATGTTTTTAGATCACTCTTGCGTCGAGTATCGATATTGTTAATAAATTAACCAACTTTTTGAATAGGGGTTCTCATTTAGAAGTTCTCAATTTCCATGCTCTCCATCTTGGAATTCAATTTTCCCGCGTGAACGTTCGGGCGCGCGTGGTGGGGGTGGAGGCGCGGGCCTATATATATGAGGCCCGTTCGCTGCATCGTCAGTCTCCGAAGGGACGCCCATGGGGATCGGTGGCAGCATGGAGCATCATTGTCTTTCCTGGGAAAATCTAATTCGATCACGAATGTACACACTAATCCCCAATTTAATGAGAATGTATAATGTATAGTATAACGAACAGTAGAGTGGTTGAGAATCACTGCAGCAAGATGAAAACCATTGGAAAATTTCATTGGCTAATGTACATGAAATATCTGGTAAAGGATCGATGAGAAGTGCATGTTATTCAACTCGTATAATTAATCTTGCCATTATAAGGGGAATCTAATTACAAGAATAAATATTTAATCCGATCCGAATGTGATCGTGAACACATTCGATGGAAATATTATTTCACGCAGAATTTATTCGATTCTAGTGTAGTACGTCAGGAGATAATCGAGTGCACGTGTTTAACGACTAATTGGCAGATTAATTGGTTAAACAGTCGGTGAAGTACGTACCGTTAATCCGTAAGAATCACTCGAATATCATTTTAATTTTATATAAATAATATTAAATTCGTGATAGGCTCACAATTGACAAAGTTAACTACTGAGGAGAGAGAGATGACCGATGACCAGCACCTTTGCTACACTAATTATCTTACAATTAAGGATTATTTGAAAAATAATATTCGGTTAATTGAAAAGTAATATCCATCGCAGGATGCGCTGATACCGCGTCGCATTGCGTCTCGTTTGAGATGGTAATGGATGTTAATAACCAGCGGGGGTACAGGTAACACACGTACCGTCACGTGGTGAATGTGGTGCGTGATAGAGATTCGGGGGTGAGCGTCTGGTTGCGTGCACAACTTTGGCAGAGGGAACGGACGCGTCGGTGGTAGTTGATAGAAGTGGAGGTGGTGACGAGATGACGGCGAGGGTTCAAGTAGAAAGGGAATAGAGTTCAGGAGCGGTCGCTTTGATGTAGACACGCTTCGCAACTCCTTCACGCCAATAAACCTTTACGACGGAGGTTTCTTTAAGCTTTCTTAATATTGTCATCTTTTCTTTGGCCCCTTTCACTCGGCCGTTGTGTTCGGTACCGTTCCGTTATTGCTGGCCACGGAACTTCGCTAGCTCGACGATTTTGATTTTCTCTTTTTCATTTTTTCTCTCCAAAGAGGTTCTAGTAAGATACTTGAACACGTATTAGAACACCGCCGTTAATGATATCGATCGCCTCGATCACTTAGGGCCAGAAGAATATTCTTCGAATTCCTATCGTTATCGATATCATTACAATTTCTAATTAAATGCAAGGAAGAAATGTCCTCGTTAATGTGATAACCGATTCGCCGTGAAGAAAAAGAAAAGAGATCCTTCCGACCTTTCGTTCGTTGCATCTAACAAGCTTCTTTGAACAACCGTACGTCTCCCTCTTGTGCAATTATCGGCAATAAAATAAAGTGAAAGCTTTTTACCAGTCGGCATGGGGCACACGGTAAAGGAGTATCGTATACAAAAATAAGAGCGAAGAATAACAGAAAGATGAAGGAGCCAGGCGGCGAGGAGATGTTACCCGGCGAAAGCTTTATAAAGTCAAAGAACATCGATTTAGAGAAAGAAGAGCGGTAAACGGGGGGAATGGGGGTAGTAGTCTTTGATATCAAAATGAGAGGACGTAAAGTTTCCCCTGTGCCTTTAACCACACCGAGCACGTGGTATCAAACGGCACGATCGCGAACAGTGCCGCCCACACTTCGGATCTTCGGTTTCACGCTAGGGGATTCCCACAACTCCTACCCACCACCGACAATAGAGGGTGGCTCCAGCGTTGTTCCCTTTTACACATAGGGTGGCTTACACTTAACCCTATGACCTGAAATAACTCTTTTTCAAATCTTCCAATCGTAATCCCTCGGTTAAATGTCCGTTTACTTAATCAATGGGGAACAATTGACGCGTATAATTGTCCTCTTTTCAAGCATCAACGCCGTACAAAGGGTGTTATCATTTTCTAATCTCCCAATTAACGTTCCTTTCAATCGGAAAGAAAAATTGTCACGATCACAAGAGCGTAATTAAATAGAAATAAGGGTTACGATTCTTTGTACTTTAGCAGACGTGAATTCTGTGAAATGCTCGGTGGTTTGAACGTTTCGCTGTTTACTCTAAATTTTTTTCTTTGCTTATTAAACGTTCCGGGAAGTGTCTTCCAGGTATTCGCGAAAGAGATACGTTATTTCATTAAATGATAGGTTTACAACGTGAAAGCGCCCCGTTTCTGTGTAGTAATTTCAGTAAAATGAGTAGTTTAATGTGCGATGCACGTGTTGAATCGTGTCTCGCGTGGCTGTATCAAAGTTAAACAGGCTAAAAAACGAAATAAACACGTACGGCCATATTATGATAAGAGAAAATAAAAAGAGCACACGTACATACACGCGGGTATATAGGAGAGAGAGTGAGAGAGTAAAAACGAAAAGATAAGTGAAAGAAGATAAAGGGGCGCCGAAATGGTACCGCGTTTGATCCATCATCTTCTACTGTCTGCGTGCAATAATTGTCTCTATTGTCTGTAACACTGTTCTCACTGTTCGTATCCCCTCCGATTCTTCCATTCTTCTGCTCTCGTTCTTTCACTACCACCATTATATTATCATTCAACTTTCTCGGTGTCGTTGCTTCGCTCATTTTCATTTCTCTGCCAATCTCGAAGAGGTAGACTCTGTATCATTGCCGTACAGTGTACGTACACGTCGTGCAATCACGCCTCGTCTACTCGGAAACGGAATTATATCTACTTGCAATTGTATACGCGACGAGATATCCGGTGAATGAGATGATTTTTAAGAAACGTCCGATTCAGTCGCTCGAAGTTTCATTAATATCGCGAACGACGCGACGAGTATCGGCTAACGAGCAACCAGACCTCGGGGGAAAAAATGATAACGTACACAGCTTCTGTGTAACTTTTATTTTTCTATGAAATATAATTACGGATGTCTCTTGTCTCGAGTTAGACACCGCGAACTCGGATGGTATTTTAACAGAGATCGAAAATCATGAGAAATAAATGAAATCGAAGGTAAAATTGATTCCTGTAACGAACATGGGAAAAATGGGGCGAATAAAGGGACAGGGTTCTGGGTGGTTTAGTTACGCGTATACGACAGGGGCGAAAAAGGGGATGGTATGTATGTATTGTCGCGAATGAGACGTAGGGGAAGAGAAGAAAGGGAAAAAGATAAACAGAGTCCTTTAGGCCGGTGCATGCGACGGGCAAAGAGCGCAGACAATGAGGGTCAAAGGCGCCACTTCTCTTGCCACGTTTTTAGCTGGGCGATCTTCATTCTTTGAGCACTTTGTTCCACTACCGTGGACCCACGGGAAATTCTCTGCCGTCCGAAGAGGCCGATCAAACAGTCATGAGTATTACCTTCAGGAAGCTCTGCTCCCTGTATCTTGATCCTCTTACTACCAACCCATACGTTTTGCATAACTGTTCATACCGATCCCAATAATCGATCCCTAAGGAATCGAAACGATTTTTTTCTTTTACCTACGTCCTCGATTCGATTAACCTTTCTCTCCCTCTTTCTCTTGGTGTACCATTTTTAATTGCCGCCAGAGAACAGATGTTACGAAGACGTTGATCATAAGAGCCGGACAGAAACATACAGGGTGTTCCAATTTTTTTTTTCTCTCAACGAAACTCTGAATTTTCATTTTGCAAACAGCTACATAGTTCATTTTTTTTCTCTCTTTTAAAGTCGTGTATATATTGTAAAAGAAATCATGACCGGGAAGATCGTTGAATGACGAGTCAGCTAGCCGGTCGTCGCGCGGTATGCTCGAGCGAATCGAATCGCGCTCCTCGGCACGGTTCTATCCCTCGGGCTTGTACAACGATCCCGTTAACGAACGACGCCATTAAGGGCGCATTAACATATAATTTTCCGCGAGAAATTATAGGCGACTCGGCTGAGTTGGCTCGCACGGTGTTTATTATACACATCCAAGAGCAACAGAGTGCCCGTCGGTGCAGTGTGTCGATCGAAGGCACACAGGACTCCGGGAACGCGAGCAGAGGGAAAGAGAGAGAAAGATTTTAACCGGCGCGATGTGTTGGTGCATTCATGCGAATCCATATTGAGAGGCCAGAAACATGGATATACGTGTGTGGGATCGCGTGCGGCGGCAAGATCAAACGGAGATTCTCCTTCTCTTGTACCCTCTCATCGTAATTCTCCCTCTTCTCCCCCCCCCTTCGACCCCTCTCTCGCGTCAGCGTCGGTCTCGCTCGAACCGGCTCTCTTCCTCTGTCTCGTGCAAGTGCTACCAATGCGTTACTACTTATATAGTTTCTCCACTTTTGCTCACAAATGGTCTTTTCGTAACTCGTCCTTCTCTACCAGCTCACTGGTCTCTATACCGTTTCACTAGGCTTTCCTTCTCTTTCTATATGTATATATATATATATATTTTTCTTTTTTATCGCTTCTAACTCTTCACCTTTTCTTTCCGCCGCGTTTTGTCGCCGACACCGGTGGCCAGCGATGGGTAGGTGAAATACCGTACGGAGTAAATCAAGTTTTCTACGAAAGTACACGCGTCAGGGTACCGTATACCGTCGGATAATCATTTTATTTCCGCCGGTATGCCTGCGAACCCGGGGCTAGAATATTTTTAGGCTGTGTTTCCGAATGGCCCCACCAAAATTGAGAACTCAGGTTCGGTATATAATCTAAATTGACTGCAAGAAACCGATTAAAGTTGGTTTCACAGCTGGATGTCTTACCGTTTTCGAGATATCGTAGTAAGGCTAGGTTAGGATAGGTTAGGTTCTGCGTATGCGCAGTATCGAATAACGCATGCGCAGTATTGAATAGCGCATACGTAGTCCCAAAATTGTACAAAAACTTCTTACCACGATATCTCAAAAACGGTAAGATATCCAGCTCTGAAACCAACTTTAATTTATAGTCAATTTAGGTTATATAGCGAGTTCTGAGTTCTCAATTTTGGTAGGACCATTTGAAAACTTATCCTATTTTAATCATATTTGTTTAAAAATAAAATAATTAATTCGGCTTCGTTGTTCGTAGCTGAAAGGGTTGGACACGATAAATCAGCGCGTCGGCTTTGTAATTTATCTAGAGGGAAATAGTTTGGCAGCGACTTCAGTCGGGTTTCGTTGAAATTAAAGAGACCGTCTGGATTAGACAGGGGTTGACGGTGAACGTTTTTGCCATTCGATGTTCGGCTAAACATTCAATTCCATCTTCCAACCAGTCTGTAATTACATCGAGTATTTATTTCTGGTTATCCAAATGCTTCGGCGCTGGTACTCCTTATCAATTTCAACGTCCGGCTTTTATTTAACGTTGAAACACCATTATCGGCGTCGTTCGAGCTAAACGCTTGTTCAAATTTATGAAAATCTCGCGTTTCCATGCGAGTTTTAAAAGTATGGATAGGTATATATATAGCACAGAATTTGCCCTTATACCTGGACCCTACCACTTTTTTGTCCTACGTCCACCATGGCCGCGAGAGGGGGGAGGGGGGGAGCAGGGAGGGCAGGAGGGAGTTTGCGAGAGAAAGAGAAGGAGAAGGCAGTTGTGGCCGTAAGGGAGGTGTGGCAGAGCAAGAGAAGAAAAGGAGAGGATGGTGTTAGAGCGAGAAGGAAAGAGAGGAAGAGAGATAATGCTTGCTCTCCCTTGGCTCTACGGTCACTGTGTAGTTTCAGTCTTACCGTGTACGTTGTATGGGGCACAGGTCTTCTTCGGCATCCTTTGTCGTATTCACATTCAACCGAGCCGTTCCTTCAGCCCCTGTTTTTCTCCTCGTTTCGCTGATTCGGGTATATACCAACGAAAAGATTTCACGGAATAAATTTTCGAACCGGCTATCGAAAAGTACGCATTAATCCGATCGCTGGAGTTTTTTCATACAACTACCGCCACACTGGAGGAAAATATTATAATTGTTTATCGTTTTACGCGTACACCGTGTCGCCGCGGATAGAAATCCATGAGAAATACATATTTCTTGTTACTTTTTAAAAAGGATGTCTGCCCGTTTAGAATATGTGAATCGGCAAGTTTAACGACGTCAACAAAGAGACGCTGTTAACGAACGCGTCCTGAAATATAAACTTGACTGAATGTCTCGTGACAGTCACGTGTGGCATGTTTTATGGATTTGATGCGGATGAAAATGTTTCGGAGGCACGAGTACGATTTCTGCGAACGATTTATACAAACTAGAACTATGCGATTTCTCGCCGACCGAGCATAAAAATTCTAATCTCACTTTATAACCTCCTTATTTTTAATACGGACTCAACATCCGCAACTGTGAGTGGTACTCCGCGTTTCCTACTTCTTTCATACTTACGAATGCGGCTTGATGTGGTCAGTTGGACTCGATACAGTTTTTGTGAAAATTAAGTGCAACCGAACGTTATTAACTTATAAAATTATTACTTCGAACAGTATTTGATCGTAAAGAAATTAAATACGCGTGTATGAAAACTTATTCTTAAAACTTTCACAATCGCTCCAAAACTATAGTTCCTATTGTAAATGGATGCATTAGTTTCGTGTGCGAACTCCGGTTGTGATTTTTCTCTTTGTGACTCGACCAGATGTCGTTCGCGTCGAAAAAAACTTAAATCTAAAATTGTGCGGGTTCGTACGAACAGTTGAATTAAGATACACGGAATGAACGCACAATAATGAATAGTTGGATTCCGTGAAAAAGAGGTTATGTTCGGTACGCGCGAACTTTGAAAGTGACTCATAAACAAGTGGTTGTCTTGGAGACATGTAAAATATATGCGGTCGATGATAAAACCGAAGAGTATCGAACGAAGAAAATGCATTGATATATCGCCACGGAATCAAGGTATTAATTTAAAGTAGTTTTGAAAAGTTAATAATGACAGGGCGGCAAACGAGTCCCGTCAAAAGCAGCATGCGCTACATTTGTAACCTTATTGTATCTTTTTTTTCTTGATATCTTCTGATGTTATTCAAGTTCCACGTAGGTAGTTATTATACCACTATAAATAGGGTGTCTACTCGAATGAAATAAGCGATATTTTAAATTAAAGGTTCTAGAAAAATTACCGCAAAATTTAGTATTTAGCTTTATTATTCGCATATGAAGTTAATATGGAGAGGCATGAAGGTCAATCGTAATTTAGAAGAGAAGGACGGGGCGACGTAGACTGTTGACACGTTGCTGAACATTCTCCTAAGTCGATGGTCGAGGTCCAGCGGTCGTGACGGTCGACGACCGACGGTCGGTGTAGCTGCCGTCCGAGAGCGGTCCCTTAGAAGTTTCTTTGAAAGATTCGCAGCTCGCGAAGCATAATACCACTACATAAAGTCATCTGGCGATAACGGTGACACGCCTTTGACCGTTTCCGCTCGGTCTTTCACCAACAAATCCTTGCCGGCGTTTCAAAAGACTTTAAAAGCCGTGTTTATGGCCCTGATCGGGATCGTTTCTGTAACGGGCCGATAACATTGTCTATATTCTTTCATTGATAATCGTAGCGCCGCGTTGTGATAAACACTCGATACCTAAATAAACATTCGTTAACACTTCGAATGGACGTGTATCGTAAGGTTAGGTTTCTAACCTTGACTTCAGAAAAAAAGATTAATTATCCAGGACAGTTCGCTCCATTACTGGATGTTGATTACACAGTAGTCCTAACGTACCATGCGTCGGGCATAGGCATAGAAAATCAATAGACAGTTAGTAAGTACTTAGTTAGTACTTAATATTTTTTTAACGAATTCATACAGCGAGTTGGTACTCTTACGAGAAAAGTAAATATCCTCCAATCTCGATCCGCCACTCTGTTTCTTGGAGCCCAACTTTCGGAAAGTTGGAAAATTCTCCTCGAACCGTAGCGTAGAAATCTTGGTGGTCGCATTAACGAAAGTTTCGTAACTGTCTGCGTGGAAAGACGAGGAAGGTCGGCGGGTGAAACGAACGGATAGCCGAGGAAGATAAAAAAATTCGAATTATATACACTCCGTAAAGCCATGTGGAAATTTAAATGGTGGCCGTAAGAAAAGCATAGAGTCGTCGTCTGAGACAGAGTTCCTCGGTTGGGCGCGTAAAAGAGATTTTACCAGGGGGTCGAAGCGGCCTACACCCGTAGGTGGAAGAAGGAAGAAGAAGGTGACGCACGAGGAGGATGACTAGGTGGGTTGGTAGAAAACTTACAGGTACCGAGAGGAAAGAGAGAACTGAAAGGGTTAGCTGAATGGGCGCTGTGTGTGCTTTTCTCGTTTGAAGAGCTTCGAATTGCCCAGTGCCGTACTGAAATTACTTTGCGCTTCTGATGTTCCCAAGAATCGTTTCAATTCATTAGTAGTTTATTAAATGTACAAATACCTCTTGAAATCGTGTCGAATCGAGCGGGTAAAAGGATTATAGAAAACAAAAATGCTCGTCTTATTGCACGATGTTACCAGTCTGATGTTACCGACCGAGCAACGAACGGGTTATGTAGTTCCCCGGAATACACAACGGTGTACGCGCGAAAATCGTGCGAATTTTCGAGCGGCGCCAAAACCAACGCGACGATCAGGAAAGAAGCGAGAAAAATAAAACTAAAGAAACAAGAGATGTCGCTCTTTGTCTCTCCTCCGCCTCTTTTGCTTTCTTTCTCCGCTGCCCGCAGTCTGTTTTTCGGACAATTCCAAGTAGCGAACCGCGATTGCCGACACAGCAATCTAAGACGCGAAAAAGAGCGGGAGGGGGGGGGGGGGGGGGGGGGGCAGCGGATAAAAAGAAAGGGACGAAAGAAAGAAACGGTGGAGAAGTAGAAAGAAACTGAGAGTGAGTAAGTAAGTAAAGTAAGGGGGTAAAATAAAAGAGGAATCGGAGAGGCTCTTTGGACGTGGATAGAGGGAAGGGTCAAATAAGGTGGACCGCTGTCGGAGTCGAAGCGGGAGGCCGCTCAAAGTGGACAGAAAGAACGAAAGAGAGACAAAAGAGAAAAGAAAACGAAAGAGTGAAGGAGCAAACGTACGTACCACGCGAGAAGGACGGTAAGGATAGAAAGAAAGGCAAGGAACGGGACGGCATGGCACAGGTAAAGGTTGAAGGAAGACGAGGAAGGCGATGAAGGAGAGAAAAAGGCAAAAAGGGAGACAGAAGACACAGACCTCGCCGGCTGGTGGCTGGCGGCTGGCGGCTGGCGGCACCGCTTGATGTACGTCGGGTCCGTAATTACAGGTTTTCGGAACGCCTCGCTCGACGAACCACGCTCTTTGAGAGCTAGGGCCCTTCCCTCGCCTCGTCATCTAACCGGTGACTTCGAAATACTTGTCATTTCTTCGATCTCTTTTTCGCCATCAGAGAAATATATCCCTTCCTTCGGAAAATGTTAATGCGACTTTCAAAGAATTCTACCGATCAAAACTATTAGGTCGTTTCATATGAAATGCAGCGAATTTTTCTTGAAGGAATGAACATTTCTTTTCGTTACAGACATTTTATTAATCCAAATACGGATCATCTAATGGATCAACCTGTTGGCGGCAGGATTTCCCAAGAGAAATCATTTAACTTTTAAATGATCATTTATGTTGTATACTTGTATCGCCTTTCACGTGATGATTTTGAATACTGTTCTTTAAAACAAGTACAATGATATACGGGTTCCACTGTTCGAGAGACACCCGGTATGTAGAGGCTGGATAAAAGTTCGAAGCGTATACACGCCACGGTAAACTGCGTGAAAGACTATGCAATGCGGTTTGTTCGGATTCGATACGCGTATGTTTAATTTTGATTATCGATAGCTTGAAAAATTGATATTATAATTAATCAGAAGTGTAGGAACGAATAATTTCCTTTTTGTAATGGTATATTATTTTATATTGATGTAAGAAAAAAGAACAAAAATTTTATTTTAAAAAAAAGAGGAAAAAGAAGAATGTATGGAACATGTGGAATGGGATCATCGAAATACCTTTGTGAAAATCACGGTATCGTGCGTTTTAATATCTCGCCGTTCGTAAGAAAACCGAGAAATGTTTTCGGACGAGTAAGAAGCAATGCGAATGGGAGAGACAGGATTTAAATTCCATGCGGTTGATACATTTTTGTACGCTTGAGAAAATTTCAATATCCTTCAATCGTATATTTCTATAGATTTGCAGTATTTTATTCGTCGATATCAAACAGCTTGGTATGCGGGGTAACATCGGTACTAGTATTTACCGACCAAGCGAAAGGCGCATAAAGTTATCGCGTCGTTCAGAGATGAATCTTGTCCCGATCGTGTCCAGATGGCTTTCCTATATCCTGGTGTAAACCGAATATTTTAACCCTTTGCATTCGTATTTATATTTGAAAAATCTTTTATTTATTTATTTTATTTTATAAAATATTGTAACAAGGTTCCCTAGAATGAAATACTAATGTAAATATATGTATAATAATAAAATGTAGGATGGTGATTATATGGCGCCATACGAGTGGAAAGGGTTAATAATCATAATAAAAAATATATAAAAATAGTCTAAGTTCTTGAATAGCATTAAAAAGTCGAATGGAACGATCCGTATGAAATATATCGATCACAATTACGAGTAGATTTAGATCTTATTTGAAATTGAAATTCACCGACGCTTTTTCATCGTGGATGAAGATCTTTGACATTGTAGGCAACAACCCTAATCTTCACGCGACGCGTTTCTTTCCGCCTATAATTATATCTCACGGTGCTACGCTTCGAATAATTATAACGACGGACATCATTAAGCAAGTAGAAAACGAAGAGAATATTAGAGAAGTTGTGTAAGCCGCGAGCGGAAATGATTATTTTCATACTTCGGTCGTTATTAAAATTGAAGGTTCTAATGAAGTATGCTACATTGAATGATGAATCGTACTTGAAATTATATATCAAACATTCCTGTAACGATCGAGGAAGAAGTACTTTTGTTTAAAAGGCTGAATAGTTTCAAGTTCACCCCATATGATTCCAGCAGATTGACAATGAAGTCGCCTCTCGAATTGAATACTTTTACTCTTTATAATGGTAACTTTAATGAGAGTATTAATTTTTTTTAAAGGCTATTGTCGTATTATCCTAGTAATTATAAAGTATAGTAATTTACTTATTTTTTATAATTCGATTTGGTAAACGTAAATACGATTACACTTTTGAAATTCGTTTGTAATTATACCGTGAAGCAGAAGATAGATGGCGAATGGTGTTAATTCGTCGCTAGTAAGATTACAGCGCCATAGATCATTAACTAAAAATTACCAGCTTCATTCAAACCCAATCGAGTGCTACTAATTAGCCGTAAAAGAAGTTATTAAGAAGTTCATCTAAATACGTTAATAAATGCTTTTTTATATTAAACCGCGTTTAATGCCATCTATTACTGTGAAAAGAACACATTTTGTAAATAAAGTTGAAATGGCTTTGTGGTTACCCGGTGGTGTGGTATTAAGTTACAGGTGGTTGTAAGTTTGTCATCTTCTTTGTTACATAGAATTATACTTATTTATTTTAAATTAACAAATTATGTAACTGAAATGAATAGCTGTAAATAATAATTCCATTTGCCACTTTTTTATTATTAATGAAGAAATTAATATCAACAATTTCTAACAAATCTTTAAAGTTATTTTTTGAAGGCTAAAGTATGAAAAGGAATAATCTTTAAATAATTTCATTGTACATCTAAAATTAAGTGTCATTACTGGGTAATTATTTTTTAAAGAATAGAATAATGTTAGATGGGATTGTAGTTCTATTTTAAAAGTATAACAATTATTATTGATACATTTATTGTGTACATCCATTCAGCATTTAATGTGTTATCTGTTGATACTACAAATGTTAATGCTGCTGTTTTTTTATTGAGAAGAACATAATATTTCCAAAGAGGAACAGTGATTCCCTCAAATTTTTCTCACATTTCTAGAAGTAATATTTGTACGATATATCAGAATTGTACGCTTCACAATCTGACAAGATCAGACATTGTATCCCTACTCCACCCTTCCTGACTGTGGCGTCAGTCCTGGTCAGGACGCAGCCTTAGCTCAGTTTGCCTAGAGACGCGTCCACAGTGGTATCGTATGTTCATTCTGTTCTATAACAAAAGAAGTTAGAAAAGCACTTGTAGTTGAGATCCAGAAAATTGTTTAGATCATAATAGATTTCATCCAGCTGTATAAGTTTCAAGGTCACTTGTAGAAAAGCACTGGCAAAATGGTATGTACATTCCTTTTCATCCCTTGATACAGGTAAATGTGCACTGAAGCAAGATGATTCATTATGACAGCTTTTCATTTCATATTTTCCCTCTTGCTCAGGTAGAGATCAGATTTCTATGGTTGTGTAGAGCTTCTATGTTTTATAAACTTACCTACTCCATGTGTTCTGCTTTTTATCATAAAATTTGTAATGTCTTCTTATTGTATGTGTATAATATGAAAATTTATGTCATAAAAGTATGTTACATTTATTTGATTCGGTTACAAAACTTGTAAAGATATTGGTATTAATTCATTTGTGAACATGTGATTAATGTGTAAACTAAAAGCATTAATGTTGTGTGATTTAAACTTCTGTCTTAAAATGAATAATTTATAACAAAGTTTAATGTGTCATATACTGATATGACATATATTTTTAATATAATTAATAGATTGAAGCGATTGATTTTTATGGCTTATTTCTCTTAACAAGTATATAATGTAAAAGTGGCTATAATAGGAACTTTATGAAATCATATTTCTATAGCTTATCATAACAATAGGTTGAACCTTAGGGATATGATGGTCTTTTCTTTGTATAGGATATCCTATTCTATGGGCCTATTAATATCTATCCATCCTGTCAAAATAAAATTCTGCCCTGTAGAGAGTTCTATTCTAAAATCTGAGCCATATTCGGGGTAGACTGTAGTGTTCAATGGATTGCGTTATAATTTTTGTCGATCAATACCACACAAATGTTCTGCGCGGACCAATAGGGATATATAGAGAGGCATCTTTCAATGCGCAGACTGCCAGGAGCTACCCTACAGTTTTTCTGTCAGGCTCCGCCCTTAGAGTTCTTCTGGATAGGAAAACCATCCTTAGGTGCTTAATTGGTATATGACTCACCACAGAGCTCGATCGATCCAGCTTCCCCAGCTTTTAGGTCTTTTGTTCGGGTATCCTGAATTCAGAATATACCCTCGCTGTTATATGTTACTCCTAACTCAAATACATAGTATTTGATATAAATGATAAGGAACTTAAATAGAGAAGAATTATGTAGCTCAAATAATAACACAATCCTTTCACTAATTATTTCTTTTTATTTTACATACATCACTATAGCTAAATTATACATGTTTAAGAAAAAGAAGTCTTAAGATTTATTTGTAACAATAATTTACTAGTATTATATCAATGTATAAGTATATTTATCTAACGAATTATTATTTATTTCAGGTTTGGATTAACCATGTCTACTAAGAGGCGTCGTGGGCCTAAATTAAATATAGAACATAAAATAATACATGAAGGCCATAATAGATAGGATGAGTGGATCTCGACAGAACGAAGCACGTTGCTTCAATGAAAATTCTCCACGGCCACCAGTACCTGGTAAGACGTTTACGTTATTATCGTTTAAGTATTTTAAGGTTATTCAATTTATTTAAATACACCGGCAAAATTATATCGAAGTATATAAAATAAATGTTTGCAGGAGAGGAAACAGGAAACTACGTCAGCAGGTTCCGTCCACAGAGTCCAACTCTGACCCCTAGGCGTTCTTCTTTTGCAACACCAACAGCTTCAGGTTGCGATGCTTCGGCACCTTTGGGATTTGAACCGGAAGGTTGCTGTAGTACGACAACTATGGAAAGCGATTCGCCACCTGCTTGTTTGCGGTGGGCCAGGAACCTGCATTCCTTGCTGCAGGATCCAGTTGGCTTGGAATTGTTCAGAAAATACCTTGATCAAGAAGGTAGACCTCATGCGAATCCACTTAACTTCTGGTTTGCCTGTGAGGGTCTCAAGGAACAAGATGATCCTGAAAGGATACATCAATTGGTTAAACTTATCTATAGAAAGTTCTTCCTCAAGTCGCAGTTAGCTATACCAGAAGATGTACGTAAAGAGGCTAATCGCCGTGTTAAAGAAGGGAGGGCGGACGAAAGAGTATTCGATGCTGTACAGTTGGAAGTCGAACGTCTCATTAACGAGACTACATATCCAAACTTTCTACGATCTGACATGTATCTTCAGTATGTTCAGTCCTGCCAAAATCCAGATTCTGGTGGATGCCCTAGTTCAGGATCCAGTCGGGAAATGTCTGTTTCTTGTGGGCCAAGTTTATTGCCCACTGTCCACGAAGATAGCGAATTTGTTAGTTCCATACATAGCTCGCATTCAGCTAGCGAAACGCCTGGGGAATTGAGGAGTGAGCTGAGATTGACCAAAGATATGCTTATGGCTACTCAACAAACTAGGGCGATGGATCTTCGACCAAAGCCAGAAGCGTATGCTGGGTAATATGTCTTTCTATTATTCGAATTTTTATTTCAGATATTTATTATCTAGAATGCTTAGAGTTAGATTTGCATTAAACGCTTTATTCAGCTGATTTCTTTTTTTATTTTTGTTAAGCTTGTGTGTTTTTTTTTTTTTTTAGATGTTTTTGTAGTGATAATGTTTCATGTACATAAAGATACTTAATGAATAAGCATAGCATATAAACATTTCAATTTTTTCTTATATTTTAATAATTATAATATTTTGGTCAAAGAGTTTTCTAACCGTTTGTTTGTTCTTTTTTTTTTCCTTTTGGTTTGATGTTTTGCGTGGCGTTCATAGCATTTACTTGCAACATGGAACTAGTCCATATCATATGCTCGCACCCAGACTGCACGCACAATATTCCTCATACAACCCAGTATCCAGACAGGATTCAGAACTCCAGAGCTTGAGCAGTGATGCACGAACTGAATCAGACAATATGTCTCTCACCGATTCATCAGTGTACGTTTTCTTTAATTTATGTAATATACACGAAGACTAAACATTGTTTATTGTAACGATAATATTATATGTAAATAAATAATACTCACTATGTTTAGTTACCTTTCATGCGACGATACAATGCTTGAATGTAAATTAATTTTCATTGTAATTATCGCTTTCAATTCAAAGAATGATGAAAATTTATATATCTTTTCACGTTTTTTTGGATTTCTCGTTTACAGTGACGGAGTATCGATGAATAAACAACGAAGTAAAAAACAGTATATAAGACAGTGCAGAGCTATGAAGGATTCAGCTAGTTTAAATCGTGATCCACTAGCGCATCATACTATCATCCCTCGTACACAGCGAGTACCGCGTGATCTTATGCATCCGTTAAAACCGGAAGAATTTGCTCAAGTGCTTATTGAGAAATTAGAGAACGTCAAACGCGAACGAGAATCTCAGGAAAAGCTTGATAGGCATTTGCAAGAAAGCGATACAATTAATAAGGATGCACCTTTGGAGATGCCGAGCGGTGCACCAAAAGCGTTAGCCGATGCGTTAAGGGAAAAATTGTTGATAGAAGAAGATAACGATCAAGCGATTTTAGACCAGCATGTGTCACGAGTTTGGTCCGATCTGACGCCTTCTCGATCTCCTGGACTATCGTCACCAAGACTGCATTCGCCTGAAAGAAGACGTTCTACGCACAATTATCCACGGCCGTACAAACAGAGGAAAGAGAAGGACGTATTCTCAACGTTTTCAGCAGATAGTGGTAATATTCACGATTTTCAAGAAGGCAGCGATCTTGTCGGAGCTGGCTCCATGAGTTCACTAGGATCTCACTTGCCTAAATCTAAATCCGTGCCATCTGATTACGCCGATTCCCTCCATAAGCAAGACCTGTATCTCCAAGGTATATCTTAGATTCATCAAAATGAGACATACATTAATAAGACATAATTATATGCGTGTTAATCATTATGTTTGCAATTTTTTTAGGTCACGATCAAAGATTCCGTAGGTCAGACATGACCAGAAGATCAGCCACAAAGAAATCTATGACAGAATTAACCGACAGTGGAGTGAGCGTTGTAAGCGATGCTCCACCGTCGACAATTAGCAAAGATATTCGTCTTTTATCGTGGCTAAAAGAAACTGATAAGAAAGCGGATGTCAAACATAGCCGTCACGGGAAAAAATATGGTTCTCGTAGCGGTTCATTGGAAAGGACGACCAGGGAAACGTGGGGCGTACCTGCCCAACCCTTTGTTGCTGATCCAGGAATGCCACCTTTACCCCAACCCCATACTGTAAACATTTTTTTATATCATTACCATTTTCATTGAAATTATCATTAATATAATTAGCACGCAACCTAAATACCTGTCTTACCGACATAGGCAACGCAATTAGAAGAAGCGAGGAGAAGATTAATTGAAGAAGATAGGGCACGTTCGAGTTGTAAACAACGTCATTCTAATATTTCTAAACAGTCATATGAGCCTACAACGCAAAGTCAATCTTATGTCCAATCGAATCAATCAACTTTAAAAAAGACGAAGCAAGATATCGGAGATTTTACCACCGTTGTGTTCAGTTTCTGTGACGAACAGTTTCCTTATAGGACTAAAATTCCTGGTCATAACGTCACTTTAAAACAATTTAAAGAATATCTTCCTAAGAAAGGCAGCTATCGGTACGTATACGAATTAAAGGTATTTGTATAATCTGTTCGTGTTTTTATATATTTATTTTTTTAGATATTTCTTTAAAACTGAGTGTGAGGATTTGGATACAAAGGTTATTCAAGAAGAAATAACCGACGATTCGGAGGTCTTACCATTATGGGAGGGTAAAGTTATGGCGCAAGTCAAGGCGCTCGAGTGATAGACTGAAACAAAGATATTCTGAATAAAGAACGTGCTAACTTTGAACAAGTGCCGCAACTAATTTTATTTAAGAGGACCAGCATTCTATAAGAAGAAAAATCATAATAAGGCGATACTCGGTGTTAGTTTATTGAAGTTGCCGAAGCGGTTTCTTCCGCTTCGGTTAACCGAGAAAGTGCTTTTAATCGATGAAACAAGAAATCTGTTAAATAAGCAAAACCATTATATGTTTATTAAGTAAAAGAAACGGAAAAGAAAAGGAGACTATGTTTTCATTTTTTTTTTTTCTTTTGGAAACTTTTATTTTTCTTTTTTAACAACATGGTTCTTCCAATGTTCGGTAAAATATTTTATGCTTATTTCATTCTTCGTATATGGAATCATAGGTTGTACATAATTTCAGTATGATTTTTATAGGAAAAATAAAAAGCGTTCCTTTTTCTAGCAAAGGTTTTGCACACGCAATCAAAAGAAATCAACTAATAGTGATTGCAGTTTGATTGTCTCCAGTCAATTTGGACAAGCTGCAATAACGTCAGGAAGCGCTGTACATTAATTGAATAATTTCTTCCTCTTAAAGACTTCCCATAGTTTTCCAAACGACTGTACAAAAGCCCGCGTAGTTCATCGCCTTAGTAAGGTCTGTATAGACCCTAGATTTACATAGGAAAAAAAAAACATTATTACAAATTAGTTTTTAAGAGGATATATTACGTGCATTATAAATACACACGCTCTGTTTAATATACGTAATATATCGTGCATTCGAAGATATTGTGAAGGAAAAGAAAAAGCAACAATATTAAGGACACGAATTATGTTTTGTCGTACCACCATTATCACTCATCTGACATTTGTAAAATAAGCTCCTGCATAAAGGTAAACACGTTGAAAGATAGACAAGCAATATGCAATTGGCATTCGGGGGGGGGGGAATAAAAGTACTTTGGTGGAAAAGGATTAATTAGTCTAGACCGTAACGATGTTGTATCAGGTGCGAACAATTGTGCCTTTTTAGTGCAGTAAGGTCGAAGTAAGCCTAAGGAAAAAAAAAGGTTAAGAGATACTTATTAAATTGGAGACCAGCGGGTCTAATATCGAGAGGATAAATTTGATACATCGAGCGTTTTGTATATATTTTTTTCCAAACTTCATCGTAGTCTTTGCAAGCTTAATCATTAGTAGTCGTTTATGCTAACGAACATTATCAGCATCGATACTTTTTAAACGTTTTACGTTTCGAATTCGTCTCAATGATACATGCGATCGTTCTTTTCTTCTTCTTTTTCTTTCTTTCTTTTAACGATTCCGTTAGGAAATGAACTGTAACGAAAAAAAAAGAAAAGGAATAAAATAAGAAATCGAACGTGTGATTGAAAATCTTCTCGAGTGGCCTTCGCATACTGGTTCGATTCATGATAGTCGGTAGGCGCTCGCTTCCTAAAGAAAACTGATTTTTAAACTTTTGACAGAATGGAAAGGGATAAAATGTAGTATCTACATTGAAAAATAAAACGAATAAACGCCGAGGCTGGAGGCGATGCACCGTGGCTGATAACAATTTATTGTATGTAATTGATTATCTTTAATTAATACCACGAATGATAAAGTGTTCCTGTACCTAATTAATTAATAATGATTATTATTGTATATCAAAAGTATTGAGAATAATAATGCCATTTTCACTGGATTACATGAGATCCACATGCATTCTATTATTTTCAGATTTCCTCTATGAATTGTTTCCTGATGAATGAAAATTTTCATTGATCAATGAAAACCTCTTCCTAGGGAGAGGTCTCCCCTGATTCTCTCATTTAATGCAAACCTTTGATTTCTTATAATTCATGTAAACTTAATCAATCTATTATCTAGGTCACTACTTCACTACCTCCCAAGCAAAACTTTTGGAAAAATATAAAAACCTATATGTACATACATGTAAAATTTTTCACTGTACAATTTCAAATACAGATATTTATTTTTTAATTGACGTTGGTACATATTACATATATTCCGTTTAATTTCAGATTTCCTTAATTCTTCAATGAACAACGAGATCATTGAAGAATGTCTGGCGTGCTGTTACAAAATGAAAGCTATGATACGTGTATGCCACATGGAATGATTTCTCAGATAAAATTAGTAAACATAGATAAAGTCTCGAATCAACAGGGAGAATCGTGTGTGTCTGAACAAGTTCATCATTGCTGGAGGTAAACATTGGTCACCTATATCTCTCACTTTTCACGCGTATGATATAGAAATTAAAAGCGTTATAATTCCAGAAAATATTTCCTCGAAAAAACAAATTAATGATATCACCATTAATTTATACGATTGTAACGGTATTTTCAAAATAATTTTACAGATAATATTTGAAAAGATTCCTCAATGCCGCAATAAATAACGCAACAAACAATTGAACTACGCAAGCTCACGTGAAATTTGATGTACTCTCGATCTTACTAAGGGATTAGTGACAGATAAAATGTATATCGTTTATTGCTCTTCGAGGAATTATATGTGGTAAGATAACACGAACATTCCTATCATACTATTAGATTAAAAGATCTTCGTACTTTTCGTAATGGTAAAGAAATACAAATAAATAGAAAGATCACTTTTACATACATCTACGTTTTTAAAATAGAAAATATTTGAAATACAAGCGTCGTGCCTGATTAACCCTTTCCACTCGTATGTCGCCGTATAGTCACCATCCTATATACATTTTATTATTATACATATATTTACATTAGTATTTCATTCTAGGGACCCTTGTTACAATGTTTTCTTTTAGTTATAAAATAAAATAAATAAAAGATCCGAGTTGATTGGTAGCCTTCTCAAATATAAATCCAAGTGCAAAAGGTTAATATTACTAATATTCTATTTATTTCATTCGCATAGGGAGCGTCCCAGGAGCCTCAGCCCCAAAGCAACTGCAACCCGCCTGCCAATGAAAAGCAATAACGATCTGGAACATGTAAGAAGACCTTGATTTCAATTGTCGGTTACTGTTCAATAGCGAACCGATAGTATCTGGAATCGTTAAGGTGTTAACATCAAAAAGATCGATCGATCGATCGACTATCTTACGAATTTCACTTAGATTCGATCGAACACTTCTGTTTATATTTCTCGTCACGCTCGAGCGTTCTCTGAAGATCGAAACACACACAGAGGGACATCCTCGACCGACACAGACGACGATCTTTCTTCGAGCAGAGGTCATCGCTAAAGTTGACAGGATCTCAAATGATCAATAAATTTCGTATCACGTGAATGTAGAATCGTCGAGAAAGTAGGAAAACCCGATGCAGATTCTTTATGACTACGATTGGACTGTTCTCCAGTGACGTTCGCCGTCTCGAAGGCGGCTAAAGGAGAAGGGGAGAAGAAGTTGCGGCAGAAACTGTCGAAGAACCACGACGCATTTAAATGGCCGGTCGCGTGTTGCTGTGGATTCAGTTTCCTCGTCGGCTTCTCGAAATCCGATTGAATTTCGTGTTTTTATACCTGTGTATAAACCTGCCTTGATTCGTCTGTTACTCCCACCCACTATCGTGCAGGACACTTGGCGAAGAACCAAAGTTTTCTGTCGATAAACAACCGAACAATTCCTCGTATTATATGAAATTTGGCTGATTTTTTTTTCCGGCTTATTTCATCGAACAAACGATGTGTCGCGGATGCAAGAACAAGTAACTCTCGTCAAGAGACCAAAAATCAATTTTCAAGAACGATTGAGAACCCGGTCGCAATTAGAGTATAACGGATCCGATTTACAACGTTGGATTTTAGGTGAGTCTAATTCTTCTTCTTTTTCTTTTTATTTGGAAAATTATATTTTATACTTTTAAGAGAATTTTGGGGGGTCGAAATGAAATTTCTAATTGATATTTTTACATAGGTGCATACGTTATTGTAACGATCAAACCGGTTCCTCTAGTTATTACTTGAATATTCCTTATTTGTATTATCCTAAGCACGTGTTTTCATAGATAGGAATTTACATTTGATACTCGAGGGATTCTCTAACAAAAATATTGAAATGTTCAAATATTCTTATTTAACAAAATTAATCCAATCGATCATTGAACATGATGCATCACGATCAGTTCAATCAATCATCATTAACAGATATTACTCTCGTATGAACCATTAAGTTTTATTTTTTATATGGAACCATATATTTTTTTTTCAGATCATGTAATAGTGCTTCTCAAGACAAATTCATTAAGCTATAATGTATACACCCGATTTTAATTAGTTTTTAAAATATAACGTTTACAAATTTCGCGATTTTCAGTAAATACGTTTCGGTATACATATACGAATAATTTGTTACTTGAGTCAGTAATGCGATATACGATAGATATATATTAAATTAGCATGATACTTTAGTATGAACGTAAAGTAAAATTAATATTTATTCTCCCAAGTGCAGTTTACAATTTTCAAATGAATTTCAGTCTCTAACGCTATTTATACTTTTTCTTTTTTATACTCTCGCGATACAAATGATTTTCGCGTTAGAATTTCTCGATCTAGATCGTACTCGTTCGAATCAATCCGCGGACAAATCAAGTTCAGAATTTAACGGCACGATCATTGATTGAAACTGATTGCAAAAGGCACGAGTATTATCTGACCTAATGATCTACGAGTTTTCTACAATAGCCTCGCTATCACAATGCACTTCTTATTGCTATTAAATTCAAAATTATTGCCTCGTACTCGACAGGGAATCAACACTGTTCGATGAATCCTATTTTCTTTTTTTTCTTTTTTTTTCATCTATTCCAATTAATTTCAGCGGCTTGGTATTTGTGCACCAAGTAAGGGAAGAAAATTTTCCAAAGAAGATTTAATGCAATTCTAATGCTTCCTTATCAAGCACAAATAATTTCTCGAACGAAGGAATGTTCAAGGTGACTAATCTTAGATAGAATGCATTTCTCTAATTTCACGTGAGCATCTTTATTGCGGTATTTAGAGCTGCAGTTAAACGTTTGCTCTAAGCCTTTAAGTAACATGTCAAGGCGCACGTGCCACGGAATAGATCGTATTAACTCTTATTGTATCTCTCCTTCCTATCAAAGGAAGCGTCGCGATAAAAGTGCACTTCATTTGCAAGAAAAACACCACCGTATTAATGGTTATTGTTGCATGCGCATTGATCAAGACATTGGTACATTTTTTTTTCCCACCAGTTAATGAGAATTAGAACGTTCGGTTTCTTTTGTTTTCCTTTTTCCTTTCAATGTTTCTCGGGATCGTGTTTTGTATCATGTAATACTCGACAAAATTTTTCAATTGAAATTTTTCAATTGTTACTTGATAGATTATCATTTTCTCTGCTGGTCACCGATGGCTCCCCAATATTCATTGCATTAATGAGGGTTCGATAAGAAAAAAAAATTAATTTTGACTCGATTGGAATTATCAAGGGCTTTGATTGTTTTATGTATCTTTGTGTAAGTACAGTGGGTCAGAAAATTATTCGCTCACCTTTTAAAATAGAATGCCTCATTTAAAATTGGACCAAATTGACTTGAAGTTTCTCGAGAAGCTATACAAATTAATTACGAATTAAACGAATGATTTCATTTAAAATTGGACCAATTGGCTTGAAGTTTCTCGAGAAGCTATACAGCTTTTGTCGTTTTAAAAAATTACAATTTGTCGAAATCGAGATAGAAATAGTAAAAGGCAATTTTTTAACTTTATTACGTGAGCTTATGATGAAAATTTAAATCATGTTTTTCGTAGATTCAAATAAGTCACGTACATGCTAAAAATTTATCAACGCATTTGAAAGTTATAAGTAATTAAAACTTCTGAAAAGTCGCGATTTTTGGAAATTTTAATTACTTGTAACTTCTAAGATCATTAACCGATCTCTTAACCATAACTTATTTGAATCTACGAAAGACACATTTTAAATTTTCATTTACTATTTCTATCCCGATTTCATAGTAAATTAATTTGTATAACTTCTCGAGAAACCTCAAGTGATTTGGTCCAGTTTTAAACGAGGCATTCCGTTTTAGAAGGTGGACGAATAATTTTGTGACCCACTGTACGTACTCGAGATAAGAGAAAAGTGTAACAAAGTTATTGCAACGGATTTTCAGGGAAACAACTTATGTTGCAAGCGTTTAATCCGTTTATTCGTTGAAATCACAACTTTGTCTCGAGATGATATCTGCTCGTGTTTACGAAGTAGGTGGAGCGTAAATCGAAGGTACGTAAAAATAAAACAAAACAAAAAATAAGAAAAATTGCATTGCTACGCTGATATCACATGATTTGCTCACGCAACCGGTGATTCTGTGCACTCACGTGCTTTTGAATCAACCTCGTGTTGTCACGCGGTTCTCCCATTACCTTCTCCCGTATATACTCGGCTAGAATCGCGTGGCCGCGCATGAGTTTATATTAGCATTGTTTTTCATGCAAATCTGTCCGCGATACACTCGAATAGCTCGGGACGTGTCTCATTTAAATCTTCGCCCAGAAATTATGCTGTATGTTAATTACCGATAGAACTGTTACCGTCGTTGCCTTGAGTAAACGTACATACGAACGCGTGCCCTCGAACACACACCGGCTCTACGGGGACAATCGTGCGATACCACTTATCAAACTAGCTTCCACTTTGAAATTCTTTTTACGCAGAAATTACATACCACCGATCGAATTGGGATCCGTTTGTAATTTCTGTTATAGCTTTTAAGAAATCTCAAAAAATAAATAACAAATCGCAGCGATCGGCTTTTCCTTATTACTACTTTGTACAAATATATCTTTTCTTCGAAAGGAAAAAGATAAGAAGTTATTGCATCCAGTTTAAATAAAGAATATCCAACGTTGGTTTAGCCAGATTTCTTGTGTATTTCATTAAAGATTTAGCGCCTTTTTTTTTTTATAAATGAGATTATTACAACGTTACACAAGTAATTTACACTTAGAGTATTTTGAAAAAGAATCTCTCCTTTTGGAGAAATTGGTAAGTCTCTTCTTGCGTCATTGTTTATCTAATATACTAATACAGGAACGATAGTTGGACCATTGTTTAACATCGTCTCGTAAGCTTGATACTCAATCACGATAAGTCACACGTTGTTATCACTGAACCCAAGACAAATATTACCGTTTATTATATTCAGCGTGTTACCGTGTTTGAGAACATCATTATCTAATAAGTTTCAAACGACACATTCAATATTTGCTTAACAATATTTTCTTAATCGAAAACAATTATTACAATTATTCGTGGTAAATGAATAAATCTTATTATAGAATACATCTATTATTAGTAATCTAATTATACTATGTAGTACTAATTGCGGCTATTTCTATTGTGGCGTGTTAACACGTTGACCGCCACAGTAGAAAACAACTTGTATAGTCAGACATTGAAATTAGCACTACCTACTGTCCGCCTATTAAGGGGGTACGACTACTTAGAGGGGGGGTCAAAAGAACCTACGTCCTTTGGAATTTCTTTTACAAAAACTCGTTGATCTTTTTTTTTTTTAACAAATTTTTATCGTATCTTTCATTGGAAAAAATTCTTTTTCAATGAATATGGATGACTTTTTGTTTACAAATTAATACGTTGACCGTAACAGTATTATTTGCGACTACTTACGTATGTAGTCATCATAATTATACTTAATTACCGTATCAATTGGTCACGGTAAAGAAGGTTATGTATCTAATGATTGTCGACTAGATACCTCCGTATTATCGATACGTTTGTTACCGATGATCAACGAGAAGCTGAACAAACGAACTATTAGGCGTAACAACGTAAATTATAATCCACGTGACAAATCAAATTTATCGTTAATTAAGCATTCTCATTCACATGACACGTCGGGTTTCGCAATAGAATTAACAAGAGAAACACGAGGAAAGGAAGATATTATCTACCTCACACGAGCAAATTTCGTGTAACAATCACATTATACGCATTATTCATGAATCACGATCAGTTTAGTGATCCCAGGTATCGTCCTAACAGAGGAAAATAGTATGTTTATTAAATAGAGAAATCTCTTCGTTATTTGCTTATGAAATTAACATCAGCGTAATATGCTTATCGCTGATTACGTTAACGAAGAAGAGATCGTTTGTTTTGTCGTCAGAATAATCCTAAAGCAACGTGACTTGAATATATTTATTATTACAATGTAATATTGTCAGACAGGTGTATGAACAAGATCGTAAATCAATAGTAGTATTGCAATCTTTAAGCAGTATCATTTAAATATGACTGATAATGTTCTTAGTATTTCTTCTTTTTTTTAAAAATCGCCAAAGTACAAGTGGATCCAAATGGATTTACCGTTTGGTACACCAAATGAGCTTCCGGGTTTCGCTCCCAGAGGACGCAAAAGTTACGCAAACCTTTAGTTCCGATAATTTATACCAGCTGGCGCCTCTGGTGACAATTTTTAAAATACAGAAATGTTTCTGAGTTTTTAACTTGGATTTATTTAAAAAATTCAAATGATAAATGTGTTTCTAATAATTGGTACTAATCTGGGATGTTTAATTTTCAGAATGAACGAATCAAACGATACGGGAGGTGCGAATCAAGGTAATCAATCGGAAGGATATGTGAATCACGCTTTGAGCGGATCTGGGGATAGTTTAAATCTTAATCACTCGAATAACTCCCAAATTTTACGGAATTCTTTTGCAAACCATCAAGAAATACAAGGTTCATCAGATTTTATTCGTAAGTATCGCTCGTTTGTAGATTTCACAATAGCATGCTCTTATAATAAAACACTTCATCATTTTCTCCTTGAGTAGGTATCATCAATTGATCTATTAGTTTGTTTACAATCAAATGTAAAATTAGAAGTTTGATTAACCGAGCAAATAGAACAGGCTAAACAATTTTGTTTTTCTCAGTGGTTACAGAATCTGGGGATGATGAGATCCACCACAATGATAATTCTGTACACACAGTATTGCGATTCGTCAGGCGACGATGTAGGTCGATTTGCACAAAGAAAACTGTTTACAAAAGACTGCCAATTTTAAACTGGTTACCAAGGTACAATGGACAGGATGCAATCGGCGATCTCGTTGCCGGTGTCACCGTAGGTTTAACTGTGATTCCACAATCATTAGCGTACGCTAATGTAGCCGGTCTACCACCCCAGGTTAATATTTATAAATCTAGGAAAGGCTAAAGGATAGAATGATTAGGTTTTTAATAAGGAATATTATATTTTGCAGCATGGATTATATGGTAGCATTTTAGGCTGCTTTATTTATATTATATTTGGGTCCTGTAAGGATGTACCACTTGGGCCAACTGCCATTATTTCTTTGCTTACTTACCAGACAGTAGCACATCTTGATGCACCGGTGGAGCATGCTATTCTTCTTTGCTTTTTGGCTGGAGTAATAGAATTAGTAATGGGTATATTTGGTCTTGGTAAATATACAAATTTAACTGTCCTCTCGTAATTCCAACTAAATACTTTGGAATAATACCTAATATTAATAATATTTGTTGCAGGATTTTTAATCGATTTTGTATCAGGTCCTGTTAGTTCAGGGTTTACATCAGCGGTAGCTTTAATAATTGTCACCTCACAAATAAAAGATATCCTTGGTGTTCCTGCAAGGGGATCACAATTCCTTGAAATGTGGAAAAGCATTATTGGATGTATACACGAAACTTCAGCTTGGGATGCTACACTTGGAGCATCTTGTATAGCATTTCTATTACTTTTCAGGGTGAATACATTATTTATTTGTAAAGTACTAAATAATGTTATAGCGTACCTATTTCAATATGTGCTTCTTCGTTTCGTAGCTTCTAGCATCGTATAATATAGGTCCTAAAGATAAAGAACAGCAAAATTCAAAATATCATGCTATAAATAAACTGATTTGGTTAATTGGTACATCACGAAATGCGCTTCTCGTGATTCTTTGCGGCTTTTTAGGATACAGTTTCCACACAGAAAGCCCCTTCAAATTGGTTGGTAAGAAATGATTACGATTATCTTTTTACCGAATTTAAGTAAATACAAAAATATGTAATTAAATATTCGTCATTATCTAACACGATAATTCTTTCGCAGGATACATACCGGCAGGTATGCCAGCAGTACAGTTACCACCTTTTAGTTATACAAGAAATGACAATACAACAGCAACTTTTGTTGATATGGTTTCAAATTTGGGAAGTGGTATTCTCGTTTTACCACTTATTTCATTAATGGAAGATATTGCTATTTGCAAAGCTTTTTGTAAGTTTTATACTTCCTGTTTCGATAAAAACGTGTTCAAAACATGTTTATTATATGTAATAAAAGAAAAGAATTTCGTATTTATTTCAGCAACTGGAAAATCAGTTGACGCAACGCAAGAATTAATAGCAATTGGAATGTCAAATATTGGTAATTCTTTTGTCCAGGCTTTTCCTAGTTCAGGATCTCTTAGTAGAAGTGCAGTAAACAATGCATCTGGAGTTAGAACGCCAATGGGAGGGATTTATACTGGTACTGCGATAATTTAATTTTTTAACAGAAGTTTGTTGGAATTTTATTTTACTAATCTTGCCTTTTTACAAAAACCAGAGATTTTTATTCACGATTTATTTTAGGTACTTTGGTAATAATAGCTCTTTTCTTTCTCACACCATACTTCAGCTATATTCCAAAGGCTACATTAGCAGCAATCATTATAGCTGCTGTAATATTTATGGTAGAAGTTAAAGTTGTAAAGCCAATGTGGAGAACAAAAAGTAATTTTTCGATTTAAAACAAGAAGAAAGAAATTTATATCGAATTCAAAGAAATCAATACAATTTCCTTACTTTCTTACCTTTTTTCAGAGTCGGATTTAATTCCCGGATTAGGAACGTTTATTGCATGCTTATTGTTACAATTAGAAATTGGAATTTTATGTGGTATTGGAATAAATATCTTATTCATTCTGTACCATGCAGCTCGACCGAAAATATCTGTAGAAAAGCTTACCGTAAGTATATTTTATTTTTCAATTTATTAGTTACATCGCATATAAAAAAAACAATATGTAATTTCTATGTTTTAGACCCGACACGGTACTCAATATCTTATGTTAACACCCGATCGATGTTTAATTTTCCCATCGGTAGATTATGTTCGAAATTTGGTAACGAAATACAGTCAACGAGCTGGGAACGTGGCAACCCCGGTTGTAATCGATTGTTCTCATATTTATGGTGCCGATTTTACTGCGGCCACAGTAATCGAAACTTTAACGAAAGATTTCGCGTCAAGAGGGCAACCATTGTTTTTCTATAATTTAAAACCTTCTGTTTATACAGTATTTGAGGGGGTTGCATCAACTGACTTTGTCGTATACTATACTCAGGAGGCGCTGGACGATCTCCTAAAAGACAGAGGATACTTAAAACAAATTAAATAGAATACATTATTTATGTACCTTAAATTACATAATACGAATTGGATTACCACATTATTTTACGTTAACAGTAGAACCGGTTGTTCAGTAACGTCTTTCTTATTATAGATTTTATAGGAAGAAGTATCACACAAATACTTCTTATTTTTTCATTACATATTTCCATTAATTTTCAACGAATCGTACCGGGCATCATCGCATTTTATATTTAAGAATGCATTAAAATTAATGTAATATTTATATTAAATACATTACAGTATAGACATTTTTAATGAATCACGTTTTTATGTATTATATTAAAAAAACGTCTAGTGTAGGTCTTTATTACCGTTCATCCTCATTATCTACATGCAACAAATGATGGTGCAAAAATAAATTTTATTACCTCTTCAAAAATTATTACGCGCGGTTTACTCTTACCCCTGTAGCATGGTGACCCGCCTTACATGCGCGTACTTGACGGCGTAAAAATCGAAAATTGCAAAAAAAACGCGTAAAACGAGGAACCAATATAGTTTATTTTCCTTTAAAATTAAGTTTACTAATAATATCAGTCGGGAATAAATGCAAGGTTAAAGGTAGGAAAAATACGAGACACAGTTTAAACATTTTTTTATTAAATCAGAAATAATCTTATTCATTTTCCTGAGAACGTAATCTTGCACTGGCATTAGTTACACGTATAGAAAGTTGCTGGGCACGCTCAACAATGCTCTTACGCTTTTTACTGCTTACACCATGCGCAATTTCAGCACAGAATTTACGATTTTGCATCATTAATACTTCTAATTCCTACAAGTCATAAAAAAAACATGTCACGAATATTTACTCATGCCTGTAGTTTTATGTTGATGAATTTTAATTACAGAATAAATACTATAAGAAACTGATTCTTACCTTGACGTTATGTACCAAAACTTTTCTGAAACCAGTAGGTAGCATGTGACGTGTTTTTTTGTTACTTCCATAACCAATGTTGGGCATCAAGTATTGCCCCTTAAAGCGCCTACGAACTCTGTTGTCAATACCTTTCGGTTTGCGCCAGTTTCTCTAAAAATAAATCTTTGCATTAAAAAATAAGCAATGCTTTAAAACATATAGGTACAATCGATATTGCAAGTATCGAACCTTCAATTTACTGTATCGGTCACTCTGGTGACGAATAAACTTCTTCGTCCTCTTCTTAACGATTGTAGGCCTATATACCGGTCGGATAGCCATTTTTGTAAGGTATTACAAAACTGGAATAAAAACCATAATCTAAATTAGTTAATGTTTACCTCGGAACCAATTCAATAACATTACACATTTTCAATCGCATATTGTTTTATTCATATTCCTGTGATAGTAACTTATTTTGAAAAAATACAATATGCCTGAGCACTTTTTACTGATTTATATTAAGTTAATGTATATATATATTCCATCACATAAATGATTTCTCCAGATATTTTGGATTTTCTATAACATCACGTACCGTTCCTTATTACACGCCACAGAAAAGAGGTTATTTTGAATCCGGATGAACAATTTGTTGCTTTAGACTGCCATCTAGCGATAAGATTAAACTTAATACTTGCGGCTCTACTGGAATTAAAATGTCATGTGCAATTTTCTTACAAGATTATATATTGTTTTAAGTTAAGAAAAGTATGCATTGCATTAAAGGTTTACTGAAAAAATAACTGAACAATCTGCTTAATAATTTCAATCACTTTTGTCATCTTAATTAACCAATAAGATAAAGCTACAATTCATGATTGATGCACCTGAGAAACCAGGATATGACACTGCGAAAAGTTACCAGACACAGTCTGCTATATCTTTTCTGTCAAACTAACGCGTTTCTCGATGTATCCGTGTAATGAGAGTAAATGAATATGTAAATGTGATGTAAAATGTCTTTACTACGGTTTTTCACTTAAAATATCTGGAAAAATGTAATACATGCAGGTACCGGATGTTATGATTAATATGGTTTTCATATAATTTTATATTTCAAATGTATAAAATTCATGGTACTAATCGTTAATGTATACTTTTTTTAATGATTGAGCATCATAAAGTCAAGGATAATATGTTTACCGTAACGTGTTCCGTTTACTTAATAAAGATTATTTCTATATCTTTCATTTTTAATTGTAGGAATTCTGAAAGGCTCATGAGTCATATTGTATAATTCATAATTGTACTGTATCTTACATTTAAACAAATATTTTAATATTTTTTATACATAACTTAGATTTAAAGAATTAATTTTAAAATATGTTATCTTGATTTAAAATGTTAAAAATCAAGTGTTACTTGTAGTCTTAATTTCATTTGACATACTTTTTTTAGGGATCACATAATCTTATGATAATTTGATTGATATTTATTGTGTTAATATTTCTTTTTTCGTTATTTACAGCAATATAAATAAATAGAATTGATTAGTAATATGTTGTAAAAAATGCCATCTGAAAATAATGTCAAAGATACAGCTTGTGGGAAAGATAATGGAGGAGATGAAACTGAAGAACAGAATACATTGTTAACGCTTGGTGAAGGAAACAAAGGATCCCCAGCTGCTACAAAACATGTGGAACCTGTTATAAAGAATAATAGTAAAAAAGTATTTACTTCTGATGTTGAAAATGATTTTATAGAAGAAGCAGAGAATGCTTCTTTACCATTAGAATTAAACCATGTACCGAATGAAAATGGTTTACAGCAAACAGAAGTAATTGATAATACAAATAATACTACCAGTCCAAATTCATTTGAAGAACCAAGTGCATGTTCTGAATCAAAATGTAATAGAGAAAGCATGGTTTTAAAGACTGCTGCACCATCAACAATAGTTAGCGAAATTGAAAATAGTACTGATGTTTCAAATAAATTGGGTAATGATACTGTACAAAACTTGAGTGAGAGATTTACATCATTACCTCATAAAAATTTAATAAGAAAGAAGTGTTTTCTGGTTAGTACTGATAACAATCCTGGAAAGGTAACAAGCGTTAATGAACAGTTACCTTTATCCTCCAGAAACATGATTAGAAAGAAACAATTTTTTAGCAAAGATTTACAGTCTAGTAGTACAGAATCACAGTACGAACAAAATACAGGAGATAGACATAACAATAATGAGAGTGAAGTACTTAGTACTAATAACAGAGATTCTGTAAAAGATGCCTGTAGTATACCATTGGAAAGTATAGCCTCGTGTAGTTCCAGCAAACAGCCACAATTTTCGATTGCTTCGATACACGAAGTGCACAGCAATGAAATTGCCAATGCGCATAAATTATTAAATTTAGCTGAAAATAATAACAAAAATGCAAACGAAAATTTAAGCAAACTGAACGAACCTGGTAGTTCACATTCACATGCGTCTAAAAGTGTGCCAAAATCATCAAATAATTTGGCAGACTTAGTACATTGTAATGATATTACTAAGAAACCATTTAAACTGCCAATTTTAGAAAATTTACCTGGAACTGCCAGTGCCCAACAAACAGAACTTGAAGAAAATGCTGTGGCACTTTTAGAACCATCATCTTCTAAAGGTTTAGAGATGGAACCTCGATCTTCGAATAGTAGCGATGCAAGTAATTCTGATACAGAATCACAGCAAGCAGTTTTAGGTCATAATGGGACCAAAAAGGTGCAGTTTCTTTAACTACGTCGACGTTATTGATAATACCAAAATCGTATCACCTTATGTGGACACTCTGTATATTTTCTTTGCAACTTTAGGGTCAATTTATATTGCACGGTAACGTTATCGTCAACGTATGGGAGGTAAAGCAGGAATCCTTAAAACAATTTCCAGATTCCTAGACAAATTAGGGAAAGTAATATGAGGAGTGGAAAGAAAGGGCGAGATGTGCAGGGGGCAACCCCTCGGTAGGTGGAGGTCTGCGTGGGATGTATAAGAGAACAAGAGGAAATGAGTACGATCAATGGAATGTAGAATGGAACTGAAATATAATGTAATTAGTGTATGAGCGTGATAAATTTGTTTGTATTCCGCGCGGTACAGGAGCGCCCGTATGAAATCGGTATCTTGAGAGAAAATGGCCGTTAAATAGAGGGGATTCCCCCTCTACAAACGCCATCTTGGGCAGGCCCAAGAAAACCGTACAATCAATCAATCAATCAATCAATATTTACATTTGGTTATCGATACTTTATTTACTATTTACTCTTGTTGGAGTACGATAACGTTATGGTCCAGTATAAATTGGCCTTTATGCGTGCATGTGCAATGAAAAGTTAATATTACACTCCTTCAGATTTACAAATTCAATCTGTAACATCAATACTGTTAATACTATTATACAATTGCTTTGAAAATTAAAATTGATAAAAATTATTTCACTTCAGAGGCCATGTGATACAAATGGTATTGTAACGAAAGAAGGTGTGGAATATTATCAATTATGGCGGAGTTCAGAGGGCTTTTCATTTCCTGAAGGTTTATACGAAACATTGTATCCAAACCCTCCACCACTTCCACCACGGGTAACGCACAAACTCTTACACAGAAGTAATGCTTTGCCATCTGGTCCGCCAGAATTACCTAAAAGACATCTTCAAAAGTACTCTGCACCTTTGCACCCTGAAGATTGTTTTGGATTTGAAATTGTAGATGTTGATGAAGCCTCTAATTCAAAGGTAATTAAAAGAAATATACATATATATGCACTTTGGGTAATCGGTAAGTATATATATAATTCTAAACTATGCTTGATATGTTATTGTATTCCTGGCTTTGAATCTTAATATTTTCTAAAAATAATGTAATATTTTAGTCACGAAAAGCTGTTACAAAAAGTATAGCATTATTAAGTTCACCAAGAGCACACAGACCATTGGAGAGACCAGAAACTGGATTACCAAATCAGTTAGAGTGTCCACCAACGCCTACTCATCGGCCAAAATTGTTACGTCCATTACCGATGTATCAAACGTCAAATGTACCATTATCCTCTGAAGAACCTCTGCCTCCATGTAAAATAATAAGATTCTATTAATTCATAATAATTTTGTAACGAAGCGGAATGAAATTAATTTAATGTACTATTATTACAGCATGGGAAGCAAGAATCGACAGCCATGGTCGAGTGTTTTACATAGATCATATTAATCGGACTACGACTTGGCAAAGGCCCAATTTAACAACACGGAATACAGGATGCGATCTTCGAAGACAGCAATTAGATCGGCGCTATCAAAGTGTACGTCGAACCATTTCACGACCAGACAATATCGATCGTGAGCCGTCCAGCTCGCAATATCCAAATGGGAATAATTTCGATAACCCTGAACGATGTAACGAATCAACCGAAAGAAACGAATCTCAGCCATTCGACATTACCACGAGCCCCCCAGTATTATTTCTGATAAGACCAGATTTTTTCACGGTATTACATAGCAATATGGAAGCGGTGGAATTGTATAATCGTAATTCCAGTTTAAAACATATGATCAGCCGAATCAGGAGAGATAAATCAGTTTTTCCAAGATACGAGCATAACAGAGATTTAGTCGCGTTAATAAATTTATTCGCCGATCCCAATAAGGAGCTTCCAAGAGGCTACGAATCGAAACTTGACAGAACAGGCAAAGTAAATGTAGTTTCATTTCAATTATTTCATGGCGAAAGTGTATCACCGTTTTTAAACGTGTTAATTTAATTCCAGAGATTTTTTATTTGTCACGCCAGAAAAGCAACGTCTTTCATCGATCCAAGATTACCTACCGAACCAACACATACCCGGGCATTATTAGATGAAGCACCTGTACCACCACCCAGACCGCAACAATCAGCTATTACAACTGCACCCGAAATACCCGTAGCATACAATGACAAAGTTGTTGCCTTTTTACGTCAACCTAATATAATGGATATATTAAAGGAAAGACACTCGGCATTAGGACAAAACATTGCGCTTCGAGAGAAAGTCAGTATTATAAGAATCGAGGGCACAACTGCTTTACAACGATTGGGACACGATGTACCACTAGCGTTATTGTTAAGGTATAAAACATATTCTCCTGCAATATAGGATAAAGTAATAACTGAAACATTTATTACAGCTTATTCGAACAAGAAATTATGTCATATGTACCTGGAAATGTGGGCAGATCTCCTTTGGGTAGTCCACATGCTTCGCCTGGTTTAACGAGAGCTTCTGCCAGAGCTCCAGCTCCGTACAGGAGAGATTTTGAAGCTAAACTTAGAACATTTTATAGAAAATTAGAAAGTAAAGGATACGGGCAAGGTCCAGGAAAATTAAAGTAAGTTTATTAATTTTATTATTAAGTTTATTAATTTGATATACCAACTTGAATAATACATTTTTCTTTACTTCTTACTTCGTTTAGATTACACATTAGAAGAGAACATCTTCTGGAAGATGCTTTCACTCGCATTATGGCAGCATCAAAGAAAGACTTGCAAAAAGGCAAATTAGTAGTTATGTTTGATCACGAAGAAGGTTTAGATTACGGTGGACCATCTCGAGAATTTTTCTTTCACCTGTCGCGTGAACTTTTTAATCCTTATTATGGATTATTCG